AAAGTTTTTACTGGTGTTTATCTTTTGTTTTCCTTACAATCTCCACAGTGTCTCCTCACGAAGGTAATTTCCATTTTTATAAATACCTATTATCAATGACATACTTGACATATATTTGATTAATGGTCTATTCAGTGTGCACACATACAAATTTTACAACTTTGGTGTATGGTGTATCGGTGTTTGAATTCTATATATCTGTATTTTATTGGTACTTACTATTAAAACAGTATTTCTGTTTATAGTTTTTCTTATTTGACACTATTTTATTTAGAGGTCATGGTAATTATTAGGTACTTACTTTCATTTTATACATTAATATGATATTTTTAAAACATCTCGATGCTTTATATTATTTTATTTCAACATAGATAAACAAATGAAAGTAGGACATTTCCCTTGCGTTAAAATCATTAGGTATATCATAGAAATTTTAGATGAAATGTATTTTGTTGGGTACTTTTATATTTAACGTAGGTATATGGTATATCTATAGACTATAGCTAAAGCTACTAGCTAGGTATATCTAAATTATAGATGTATCAAATAAAAATGAATTTCTAATTACAAAAAAAGAGTATTGTTTACATAAGATTATTTAAAAAATTAAAGATCATAATATATTTAAATATTTATGAATAGGCTTAATTAATAAACATGTTTTAATTCAGACAGAATATATATATAAATGTCCTCCCATCCCAGCAGTCTTTTCCCATTAGGATTTTTTTCTATTACTGTGGATCTTTTGATTCCCAGGAGATTTATTGTTTTTAATATATTTATCTGCAATTTTATTTCCTTCAAGGTTGGTTCTTCACAACCCTGTTCTTCTCAAATTTCCTGATTAAAATAAAAGATGTTGTTCGGTTCTTCACAGTTCAAGAACTTTTCAAAGAAATCAACCCATTTCTTTGTCAGCTCTTAGTTTGTAGTTATCAGGGAGCCATTGTTTATTCCTTGAAAATCTTTCTTTCTTTTTTTTTGTGTTTACCTCTGAGGTTATTTATTCACTAGTTCTGTGCACTTTATAGTCAAGTTCTGCCGATCCTAGTATATTTTGAACGTATTTTCTCTTTTCATTGATGATTTCATGATTTTTAATTATACCAGTTAATAATAAAATGATAAATATGATATGAAAATAGTGAGAAAAAAATCTGCCTAGTTAATGCTTAGTAGATATGATATTCACATCAAATGTTATTTTTATTAGTGTTATACATGTAAATAATTATATAAATTTGATTTTCATATTTTAATGTTTTTAAACATATTCTAAACTTATACCATGTTTCTTAATTTTATTTTTGTTATTATTTAAATCAATAGAATTTTTATTTTTTTGCAGACAATTTTTATAAAGTTTCCACACCAGATAAGATTTTTTTAGAAACCGATATAATTACACTTCCAGGTGTACGAATAAAAAGATTAGCTGAATCGAGTGTAAATAATACTAGTACTACTACTCAACAAAAAAATATTTCTATTCAAGCAATCATAGACAAAAACAATGGAACAAAACAAACAAAACAAGGTAAGTACCTACAAATCAAGTCATTTAGGATCAGGTATTCAAATAAAAAAATAATAAATTCTTGTATTTTTTTCAACACATTGACTATTAATTATTGTAATGGAGTTGAGGGTTTACTTTAATTAAAACCTTGTATAGAAATTAAGTTAGTTATTTAGGGGAATGGCAGTTCTATTGGTCTAGAACAGGCATGTCAAACATAAAGTATCCCTATCTAGGGATTGTATAATGTATATTGTGTGTACTACTTCATTATTTTAAATTGGAATACAAAATTTAAATTCGGCCATTCCCATTAAATGTAACTACAGAATTTATTTATTTTATTTATTTGGTATAATATTAAATAACATCAATCATTATAATGATGTGTAGTATGTCTAAGTTTATTCAATCAGTATATTTTTATTTTTAATATTGTTTTATACAAGTTACTGTTAATGGGTAACTGATAATTTTTTTTTTTTTAAAGTAATCAAAATCAAAATTTTTAATCTTTTTGTTTAATTTTTAATTGTCAACTAACTTAAGATCTTAATTTATCTAGAAACAAATACACTAAACACTTCAATTGTTATGAATGACACTGATAAGGTTTTTGGAAAGAATTTAACTTCAGTGACTCATGAACCTCCAATTCAGGCGAGTTCTGGAAATATAAGTTATATAGGTAAAGTAGTAGTGTCTTAGTTAAAAAAATTAATTTTACTTAATAAAATTAATATTTATTATTTTTTTAGGAACTCCGACGCCTATATCTCTGCCAGTTGATTTAGAATTTCCTTCAGCGATTACCAATGAAACACTTAAAAATCATAATATAACCAAATCAAAAAATGTAAGTTGGATTTTAAATAACTAATTTAGTATTAATTGAACAATAAAAATGAAAGGAATGTCAGTAAATTAATGCGAGGATAAACAATTCCAAAAATTATTTTAAACAGAGCTTTAATTTAATCAATTTAAAAATATGTTTTAATTTATCGCCATATTGGTGGTTGCTTTTCCTTCAATGGTTTTTTGGAATTTCCTCCAAAATTTTAGGAATTAATATTAGGTTATTTTATTAAATCATCTGATTAAATTGTATTATATATTAAATATCTTATGTATATAGTAGATAGGTAATAAATAAACTATTTCCCTCCTCCCCCTCAAAATAAAAAACTAAAACAAATTGATACTTCACTGTTCTACACGTAATCTTAAATATTCATTACGAGGTCATATCTAAATCTATTATAATTATAACAGTTTTTTTGCTTAGGTTCGCAAAATATGATAAAATGATAATTTGCTTATCTGAAGATAAATGAATAGTTGTTATTTTTTTTATTTTAATTAATTTTATTCAACAATGTCAACATTTTAATCATAAGTGTGATTGATAACTTTAACAATTTTTGAAGAATATGCATATTATAAAACAAATTAATTAGTACTTTTATTTTAAAATACACGGTTTTAGTTTTTATAATATTTATGCATTATTGAAAAAAAAAATATTTACACATAGAAACTATATTACATATACAGTGTACTTACTTCTGTATTAAAGATATGAAATTATTAAAAAAAGCCACTCATTAATTACATCTCAGATAAAATAAAATTCATAAAACTAGAAAATTCAATATTTATTGAATGTTTAATTTTTAGAACCATATTATGTCAATTATTTATGTAAAAATGAATAGTTATAGAAATATTGATATTTACGCGTTATCTCGACTACCTTGGGTGCACAACCGTGTTATATCGACTACCAAAATATTTCCAAGACTACCTATTATCATCAACCGTGTTATCTCGACTACCTGGTAAAAATAATATGTATTCAATATTTTTTTACGTTTTTACGGTTATAAAAAATGATTACAAAATAATGTTTAAGTACTTAAAAAAAATCTGGTAAAAATAATATCTATGGTAATTAATATTTTTTTGTGGAGGGAAGTATGTTTTAAGATCCATTAGAATTTTATCAAATGGTGTATCGTCTCCAATGTCTTGTCACCAAACAAATTCAGTAAGATTCTCACAGGTAGTCTGGGAAATATTTGCGTAGTCGAGATAACATTTAAGTACCGAAATATTAAATACAATTAATTGCTGATATTGAAATCTATTGGTAATGACTAATGACATTTACATTATTTTAGGATTTGATAATTTTTGTGTATTATATTGTATGAACATTGTAAATTATACCATCATTGTAATAAGTTATAAAATATTATTATTATTATTATTATTATTATTCCTCAAAATTATTGTTGATTTATTAAAATAATATTTTAATTCATAGAATATTAAGACAACTTATATTATTAATAAATAACATTAATCACAATTTTGGAATCTTTAAATTGACAAAACATTAAACTATAATTACTTTCAACTTTCAAGGTAATATTCTGATGAAAGCAAAATATAATGTATATTGTTAATTGGGTTTACAATGATCTATATATATTATATAAAAAACACTAATGGTCAAAAGAAGAATGCTCTAAAAGTTCCATAAAAATATAACATTTATTAATTTTTTTTTTTCATAAGACTTACTTTCTTTATAACTTCCAAGTTTAAGTTTTATAAACAATACAGCAAATCAAGGTCTGAAATATTTTTTCTATTTCACGATTTTTCATTGATTTGAATTTATGATGATATTACACCACTGTTCTAACTGTTCTAAGTCAAGACAAGTATGCCTTACACTTTCAATACTCATACTTTTACCAGATTCTGATTTTTCTTTTAAAATATTACCTTATAGCATAAAAACCAATGTTATTTACTCTATTAAATTAATTTATAACACTAAATATTATTTTATCTAAATAGCGCGTGCACTTTGACCATACCTGTATAAATGATATTTTATATATAATAAATAGTCAAATTTTAAATTATGTTTGATAGTGAATAATTTCAATGTTCAACAATACAATGTGATTTGTAATATAAAATATTGATTGTGATAACATGAGATATTCTGTAAAAGCACAGAACAATAAAAGAAAGAAAGGTATTTGAAAGAAAATTGATAAGGGATCCGCGATTCTTAAAAGTCTTCCATCAAATGGATACATTCACAGGTCTGGACACGGGTTTAAATACAATATTATTATAATTTGGTCCATTAAATTTGAGGAGCCTAAAAAATCCGTAATTTCTAAAGTGCAGGGTTTGTGGCCTGCATAAAAATATGCTTTGTAATAAAAATAATTAAAATGATGCCACTATTACACATGTGTTAGACAGAGTCAATATTATTATATGAGTACGGCCTCTGCTTCAGTTTACACCCTATTAACTATCAAAAAATATATTATTATATGATTTTTAGGATTCTCATATATACTACAATAGTACAACAATTAACAATATCAAGGTATTTAATGATTATTGGGTTGATTTGGAGAACCATCCAGATGCAAATATTCATGATATGTTATCAGATTCTCATCGCAGAGCTGCAGTAAGTTTACAATATAATTTTAAATACATTTTTTGTATTTTTGTCAAATAAAATTTATATTTTCAGACTATCAACTTGAAGTTTCAGTTCCCCTTCTATGGACATTTATTAAACTCTACTACAATTGCGACTGGAGGTTTTTTATATTTAGGAGAATACATTCATTCGTGGTTAGCAGCCACTCAATACATAGCGCCTTTAATGGCCAATTTCGATTTAAGTACATCAAACCATTCGAACATTTATTACATGGAAAATGGCACTGCATTAATAGTAACTTGGCATAATGTTACTTTACAAGATAAACCTAAAGTTGGAGGATTCACTTTTCAAACAACTTTACATTCTAATGGAAATATTGTGTTTGCTTACAAAACTGTACCAACTAAAATCAAAGAAATTGATTCTACAAATCATCCAGTGAAAATTGGACTGTCTGATGCATATGTATTAGATAAAACAATATTTTGTTAGTATAATTTAAAATTATTTTTAACTTAGCAACTTATAATGATTCTAATAGTCAACAATTTAATTTCACAATTTTTATAATTTTGAAGTACGATACCAAGTGCCCAACATGTAATTTCTGTAAAATTTGGTATTTATCATTTATATTATTATTTTTATGTATAGTTGTCAGAAGAAAAACTATTTATGAATATCATAGAGTAACATTCCATGAAGATGAAGTAACAGATGGCACTGTTATAATTTTAACTGCATTGCCAACATGTCTAGAGAAGAAAAATTGTACTAGTTGTATTAAAAAAGACACAAATTTCCAAGTAATATAAACAAAATAATCAGTCTAATTTACTTTAGTTTTATGATTAAGTATATTATCTTTAAGTAGTATAAGATAATTAAAATATTTGTTGTATTCTAGTGTTTCTGGTGTGACAACCGATGTTCATCAGGAGTTGATCGCAATCGTCAAGATTGGCACCAAAAAGATTGTGAGAAATTGAAGCTTGTTAATGAAGATATGTGTACATCTGGAGTTACAACTGTTACTCCTCCTGTTGTTGATAATTCTAGTGTTGAATCATCTGTTAAATCTGAATCTCGTAATTGACTATTATTATTATATACTATATGAACAAATAGTGGTGTATTTAAGGCTTCTCTTAATGGGTCGGAGGGGGGAGGTTGATCTAATCGCTCTAAATAAAAAAAAATAGAACAAAGTACATTTTAATTTACAAATCAAGATCTATATTTCTTTTTTTGATGTTTGCAATTCTACTGGGGTCTATGACAATGAAGCAAACATTCGTATTTGCGCTTTTTTATTACCAACATTTTATTTGTTGTAGTTTGGATATAAATTAAATTTAGAAACACTTATAAGTTCAATAATCTTAAAATATGATTTGGAAATATTTCTCTTTGGAGGGCATTACCCTTATAGCAAGCCCTTCCTTCTAATACGCCACTATGAACAAACTATTTTATTTAGCATTTACTTGAACTTTATCATTTAATCTTTAGATACAAATTCTTCATCTTCTAGTACAAGTTTATTCTTCATTGCATTGTGTGTTTCATTACTTTTAATGTCACTAGTCTGGATATTTTACGCTTATTTAAATCCACATACACGATCTGGGCAAATGCTAATAAGAGTAAGTATACCATTTTAAATTCTATATTGCTTAATATATTCAAATATAATAATATTTAGAAAACTTTTGTTTTGCTTCTTTGTGGCAGTATTTATTAAAGTTTCACATAACTACATTAAGGTTAAGTTAAGTCATTGCTTCTGATATTTTTTTAAATGTGGATGACAAGATTAGGTCATCTTGGAGGATGATTTTGATGAGAGCTTAGTTTGATAAAGTAGTAGGTAGTTGGAAGCAGTAGTTATAACTGAACAATGGTAATAGTGTTATTACTTATTATCATAGACCTTTTACTAATAGACTGTCTCTCTTCACGTTTCCACCATATCTGATCAAGATAGGTGGCACTTTTCGATTATTGAGTTACTAAGATACAGTAAAAAAATATATATATTAATTGTACTAAACAGGCTGTATCACTGCACCATGTCGACACAGAACTTTCAATGTATTTACTATTTAGTATAGGATGGGCCGGTCTATAAGTAAAATGTCTATAGTTAATGAATATTATACAAATTTTAATACCTTATTAAAAATATTAAATTAGTGAATAGTGATCAAATTTTACTAAACTTGAAATATGACTGCTTTATTGTTTAAGAAATAAATTATACCATATATTTTTCAAAATTATTACAACTTTTTAAATGTAGTTAGGAGACTGGCTTCATACACTGTTTATATTATAATTAAATATTGTTGTTTATTCAGTATCGACCAAATCAGTGGGGTTGGGGAAAAGGAGAAGCTCGCTACACAGCTGCTACCATTCATATGTAAAAAGAAACAAGTAATGACATCATCCAAATAACTGACAACAGAAAGGTATATTTAAAAATAATACAACTTATGAATTATATATTAAATTTTTTTGCATTTACAGTGTTGGGAGTTTGGTGGTTGAAGTTATAAATATGGAATATTAAATTGATAACAAAAAAAACATCCGTAACGGTGATTTTTGAAAATAACTAAGTTTTTAGTGAAAATATGAATCATAAATATATATATTTTATTTTGCATAATGCAGCTAATGTTATTTTCTAACTTCAATAAACTAACCTATTGTTACTTAAAACTTTTATTTTTAAATTTTTATAAATGTTATTCAATTTATTATATGTATGGGTCCTAAAATGGGAAGATAGATTTTTGGATAAAACGTAGACCATTATATTTTATTCTTTATGGAACTTTGTTGTCTTACATTTTATTAATGATTGCAAAAGTTTGACAATTTTGAAAAACATAGTCACTCACATACCTCATTACTTTGAAATCTTTTTTCAGTGTCTTAGTATATATTGTATTATACATGAATCATTCAAATGGTATTTATTGAATATTTTTTACAAATTTTCTACGGATCTTGTTTCTATCATACGCTTTTTTTTATAACAAGTAACAACTAACTAAACATTTTTAAATTTGTATACGCTATTATAGTACCTAGTTAAAAAATAAAAACTTTTTACATGCACTTGCCTTTAAGTTTGTTTATTGTAAAGGGACTTCATATTTTTTTTTTGAGAATAAAATAATAATTGTTCAGTATACTACAAAAAAATATCCCTATGATGAAGTATAATATATAAATAGTAAAGTAAATACCATACCATTTATTAATAATTCTCAACTCAGTATAATTAATCCACTTAGTAATTATTTTAAATCTAATTTTAAAAACGCTTTAACTTAATTTATCAAATAGCTATTATTCCTAAGACTTTGTTAAGGAAACTCAGCACTTTCACTACCTAGTTTGATATGTATGTAACTAAGGCTCTTATTTGATGTACCAATGTCCCACGTAGGTGACATGGAATTCATTCTTTTTGTATGTAATTTTTATAAATTGGTTTATTTAAACTAACATAAAAATGTTCATGTTTTTTTATTCAAAACAGGCCTCCTGTTGCTTCACTTGCCCACTTTTAACTCAACTGTCATTTGTATAATTTTTAATAATAAAAACAAAAAATGATTGTATTGATATTATTTTTAGTTGCAATAGAAATAGTATTATTTCTTATATATTAGAGAGATTAGCCTATTGAACAACGCCCTAAATATTTTTACGGATACATATTTTAACTGTTTTCGTTGTAATAGAACTATATGTAATATAATTATGCAACCGGCGTAATTAGAGACGGTAAGCATAAGGATTTATTCCCCTTCGGATGTATAAATCGTAATATTTTTATTGATAAAACAAACATTTATACCTTTATTATTGTATTCAATCGCCTCTCATTGAATAATTCTAATTACACCCGCAGGTTACGCACATTTTATATTGTACATGTATGTTCCAATTTTTTTTATAACACAAGTAAAAAATATTGAAATAGTGATATTCATTGTATTATGTTTAAATTAAGTTTATTGTTTTTTTTCTACTGTTGATCTTATGAAATTACAAAATTTGTGACATTCTCCTTGTATTAAAATTTTTTTTATTGTTAAACATAATAACAAAATAGGTATTATATTTACATGATATAATATGATCAGATTTGGTATCAAACTAAACTTTTAATTTTTTTTTTATGTTACTTAATCAGCCAAATGATAAATTTTTTAACCCTGTTTCATTATATCTTGTAAATGATCTTTTCATACATAATGAACAACTTGAACTATTTTAAGTAATGTTTCATTAGCTTAACTTTTAATTACATTTAGTTAAATATATTATTGTACTCTAATAATTTCTTATTTCTGTAATAATGAGCTTTTTACATATTAATGAGTTTTATATAAATAATTGTTAAAAATAAATGTTCACTGGTATATTTCATAACCTAGTTTTGCCATTTTTATTTATTAAAATAAAATCTTTTATTTGCAATATTTTATTTAGGTCTAGTTTCGGGAGAACAAGATTGTCAAGCACTGTCTCATCATCAGCATTTTATTAATGGTCAGTAGTTGTGCAATTTCCCCGCATGAATTGACACGCACAACTTTTGCCCATCAGTCAGTTGTTTAGTCTATGCCTAGAGCAGGGTTGGCCAACCTGTGGTACGCGTGCCTTTTGTGGCACATTTGATGTTATTGAATGGCAAACCAGCGTCAAATAAAATATAATAATATAATGTTTAAGTATTTCTAAAATTATGTTTTCTAGTATTAAATAAATCATACAATTTGTAAATATTGTATTGCACAACAATTATTGTGTCAAAATAACATAAGGTAATAATGTTATGATCGCTGTGTTAATTTTTTATGGCACATTCTCAATTTTTTTTTTTTAATTGGCAGAGTATGAAAAAAGGTTGGCCGCCCCTAGCCTAGAATTATATTTTTTCATTTTAAATAAGTTTAAATTTAAGTACATGAATTTTATAAATTATAGAAAATATCAAAAAGTATTAGTGAAGAGGATTGAAATAATTTTTGAGTGGTGATCGGTTTTGTAGACAGATACTTTACGAGTAATTTAAATTGCTTGGAGCGAACAATTCTTAGTTTTGGGTATGTGAACTAAACAAGGAAACAGTCATATGGCCAAGGTATAAATTCTATCTAGAAAATATGCCTATTGACCATGCTAGGTTTTGTATGAAATGGAAATTGATTGGTTTGGTCTAAATCTATTGTTAAGCTAGTAGCTACTGATCATAGCTAGACCACACAAGTAATTACTGTGGTTCATTTGTTCTATAAATGTTATAATAATTTTTGGATATACTATCTTATATTCAAATAAAAATGCTCAAGCTTAGTAAGCTATGGGATGGTAAAGGATACACTGTGCTGTACCATGTTGGGAAATTATTAATATTTGTTTTGTAGTACGATTACATTTACAATTTGATATAAAATTGCAATCACATAATTTAAATTGATTTTACGTCACTTATAGTTGGTACAGTGAATATTACCTTTTTCGTCAATCATTACCTTGAATCAGCACTCAACAGTATACTCTGTACACCATCTAGTACTGAATTCAAATTATCTATGCCAAATTATATAACCTACACATAATCCATAACTTTCAGGTAAGGCATAGAATATATCAAAACAACAACTGGAAGATTTCATTTGTGATCCCGAAAGTTTTAGATAGTAATTAATAATCAACAATGTTATAAAAGATCCCAAGAGTTAATACTTAACATTTTTTTCATGCATAACATTAGGTCATTAACAATTTACCTACTACTCATTAGTCGTTATGGACTGATTTTGTAATTATAATTTAAAAAAAGTAACGTTATTTGTAAAATAGAAAAATTAAGTGATAATAATAATAATGTTGAGTAATGTGAATGTAGTTTAAATAAACATATTTAATGTTATGGGTAATTTTAAAAGTAATTTACTCTGGCAATCAGTAGTTACATATACCCGAGTGAAACATGGTCACTGACCAAAGGAAGTAGTAGGGAATAGATCATGGGTCACCAAATGGCGCCAGCCCGCAGACAAAAAATAAAAACACATATTACGACCACATTCTATAATCGATATTTTAATTGTTGTAAATTATTATTTTTGTTAAATATTAATCGGTGACCCCTGGTATAGATAATTAATTATCTTCGGAAAAAAAGCAGGTACTACAAAATATATATGGCTCAAGCTATAACAGGGTTGCAGACTTATGAGAGAACTAAGTATGACTATGATGAGAACCTACAGATGTGCTATAATTTTGACAAATATTCTATCATTTATATAAAGAAAATGTCTAGAATGGTTAGGGCATGTTTTAAGAGCTGCAGCTGGTCAAATAATAAAAAAAGTATTAACTAACAAAATAAACAAATAATGACCATTAAGTAGAACCAGGACTCTTCAGGTGGACATTGATTCCTAAGATATAGAAGATATTATAAATGAAAACAAGACTTTTGAAGTGGCATTGACAGAGAGAGAAAGAGGGGAGAGAGAAAGAGAGAGAGAAATGGCAGAAATGAACTGACAAGATGAAGAAGAAGAAGAAGAAAAAGATTGGAGCAATAAATAATATGATTTCATGATGACAAATTAATATTACTACTAAAAATTAGAATAAAGTTTAAAATTTTGATCATCCCTGTATTTAATAAAATAAGAATAACCAATACATATATATTATATACAGTTATTACTGTCTACTAAATAAACCTACTTGGTAAAACAATATTTATGAAGAATCTTATACATAAAACATTTACAATATTTTTTTGCTATACAAAAGATATCAAAATATAACATTAATTTAATATGTACACAATTTAATTCATTAATACACAACAATAATAGTATAAGTTTATACGTTTTTATTTTCGACCATGTACAACAGACAAAAAATCATCAACGTCTACGTTCTTCAGCAACCTTTGATGTTCAACTTTGGACACCTTAGAGGGAGTCTATAAAAATAAATAAATACATTTAATATGGTACCATTATGCAATTTAAAATATTCCGATTCAATAAACTATGACAAATAAAACTAATTATTGGCAATTATTTTACAGTTTTATGAAATTCCTATTTCTCCTCTAGATATAAAATAATATGAAGAATACTTCTTATAATAAATTCTAATAAATATTTATTAATTATTTAGTTGGATATTATATTGTTAATAAGTAATTAGCATTTTCTATAAATGGTAATATTTTGACTCTTTTTGAGCTATTTATAGCATTAAGAAATTTTTTTACCTAGTAAAAAAGCTTGAAAATTTGCGTAGGTCCTCACAAGTTTCTTTAGTAGCAGTTCAAAAATAAGAAAATAAATAGGCACGATTATTAGATTCTGAGCGAAGCGAGGAAGCTAGTGGTTTTACAATGGTAGCAATTATTTGCATTTAAAATGTGTCTAATTAAATGTGGCTTAAAATGGGATTTTAATTTCTAACGATTTGTTTATCACCTTAGCAAAGAATAAAAATTTAAAAAAATTCAGACTGATAAACCGTCTCCGCTCAGAATGGTTTTTCTTATACAATGATATTTTATCATTGAATTCAAGTTTGATACAGTTCATTATACATTGACCCACTGGACTTTTTTTTTTTTTAGGGTTTTAATTGTAATATTTATGATATTACAATAAAATATTATGGTAAAACAAATTCCAACTAATTGTTTTTTTGTAAAATTGTTTTAAATTATTACAGATAAAAACTTTTTCAATTGGTAAAATATCCTTGCAAGTTTACCGGAATATTACATTATTTATAGCCAAGAGATATTTTCAGTTTTCATTAATTTTCAAATTTAAAATTATTTAAAGTATGACACAATGTCTCTGCTCAGAATTGTTTTCTTATGCAATGATTTATCATTAAATTAAAATATATGTATCTAACACATCCATACAATGACATATTCAACAACTATCCTTCAGCACAGACCCATTTGTCCACTTTTTAGATTCTGAGTGGAACGATGAATGTATTTATGTGTGTTTTTTTTTATTTTTTATTTTTTTTGGGTCTGTATACCCGATAATTAGTCGAAATAATTGTTCGATTTTCAACTTTAGTATCTTGTTCGATGGGAAAGTGAATATTGTTGGTGCATTGGAGAGGTTAAATTTAAATTCCCAATAGTTTTCAAAAGCACAAGGAAAAACAAAATAAAAATCCAGGAAAAACGGGAATTTTAGCACGAAATCGATTTTGGTTTTTGGTGTTACTTTAAAAAAAATTATTGTAGACACATGCAATTATCACAGTTATTTTGTTGTGATTATATAATATTATTCGTGGGTACTTGAAACTTCTAAAGTATACTATTATATATCTATGATAGTATCAGTGTTTGTTGTTGATGTATAACGCGTTATAAGTTTATAAGTACCTAATGGATATTGTGATATGATTAATTTGTAATTTATTATAGGTACCTATTTAAGGTCAATTTTTTTTAATACTATAGATAAGTATATAATATGTCTTACACGTAGACTGACAAATCGTCTCCGCTCGGAATCGTTTTTCTTATACAATGATATTATATCATTGAATTAAAAATTTAATACCAACCATTATACAGTGACCCGCTTGTAACCTACGGTACAGCAGAGCAACTTTTTTTTTTTATATATCTGCTCTCTTCATTGTATATTTATCAATGATGTTTTAACATTTAACACCAAGGTTTATGTTTAAATTTTAGAAAAATTAGATAAAAATTGTTTTATGTTAAAACAATACCAATTAGTAATTAATTTAAACCGCTCAATTATTTAAAGCATTGTTCAAATATTATAGAAATACATTTATAATTTTTTGAAAATATTTCTATGTGAATACTTTAACATTTTGAAAAAATGTCTTTAAAAACTAATACATATATTTACCTTATTATATACTGTTCGATCAGCGGGTCTTTTAGTAGCCTTTTTAACAATATCTTCTGATCTATTTGATTTTGGTAATTCATTTTGTGACCTGAAACATTATAAAAAAACAAAATAAATATTAGTACATTTAAGTTTCAAATAATTACACAAAACAAATATTATTATAAACAGGAAATAATTTATTAAACAGTTTGGTTAATAGTTTACAAATATCAGATTGAGAAGAACATTGGGCAACATTGAATGAAAAATATTACAAGTATTTTAAATGAAAATATTTAAACATTATACTTCCATTTTAATACATTTTCTTCATGTAAATTGATTTGTATATAAATGGTACCTACATAATAAAAATAACCAATAATTAAGAATATGATATATTACATTCTTTGTGGAATTGAAAATCGTTCATTTTCTTCTTGCCATTTTCTTCCTTTACTATAATAATCATGATAGGACCGTCTATGTTCATTTTTGTATTTATATCTATGTATATCCTTTACTGAATCTTCCGTAAACTCTCTTTTCACATTTTGATGATGACTTCTTTGAGAATGGTGTATCGGACTATCAAATCGTTCATCATGACATCTTAATTTGCTTGACCTAATAACAAAACTTACATATAGTTATACATTTTTTAAAACTAATAGTATCAAACAGTGGTTCTCAAACAGTGCTCCACGGAGCCTCAGTATTCATGGACACACCAAAATTCAATATTCTTAGTTGGTTTTTTGATGTTCTTTAATTTTTTTTTTAGCAATTTAATGGCTTGGTAAACAAAAATGTTTGAGAATCACCGGCATAGATAGTTGTTCGATTTATACAACGAGTTATTGACACTATACGAAATTACATAATATATGAACATTGTATTAGAAGGTCACTAATATTTACCTGTGTTTATAATCATATTTATTATGGATTTTATTTTGCCTACGGTTTTTTTCCCTATATCTGTCGTCTCTGTGTTTTATTGGGTAATTATGAACAGAATCATCCCAAAAAGAGGGACTTCTTCTGCTTCTATCATCTTTTTCAATTTTTATGTCAACATTGTCTTTAGGAGTGCTGGTCACTGGCATGAGTATTTTTTTATCATTCTCCAATTCACCGCTTTCTATTTTTGGAGTAACGTCTAATATTTTGTTTGTTGTTATCGATGGTGATGCAATTAAATCTAATTCTGAGGCTATATCAAGCAAAGTGAATATTTCTGATACATTTAATTTCACCATCTGAAAAATATAAAATAAAAGTTAGGTATGATAATAATTAAGCCTAATGCAATAATTAATTAAAACATAAGAAATTGTGTATTTTACTTTGAATATTCTATACCCAAACGTTTTTATTAAATCAATATAAAATATTGAGTATTTAAAGAATTTTTTTTCCATTATTTTTATCATTAAATGTAATTATGGAAAATTGAACAACGAATTAAAAATATTTTTGTGGGCTGTTAAAATTAGCCACAAATGTGCCATAGGTTTGCCACCTGTTCAATACAGTATAATACACTATGATTATGCATTTAAATTTATTCAACTACAGGCTAGTTTTTTTTATGGTATAGGAAATACATTTTAGCACAACAAAAAATATACATGTATTTTTTTTCCATATGATTTAGAATTATTGAATGATATTTTTATCTATTGTAACTTATAATTAGAAGATATCAAAATAAATTTGAAGGATAACAAAATTATAAATAAACATAAATACTATTAATTAACGTACCGCATGTTCACCGTCGTCAGTAAAAACTTCATATACTTTTTGCTTTTTTAAATATTTCATATTGCTTAGTGAATCACAGACCTTGTTTATCTGAACATCTAAATTATCATCATGTGTAATAGTAATACAGGAGGTATTATTAACAACGCTTTTGACAACAATAGGTGATTCAGATCTGTCAAGACTGGTATTCATTTTATTTTCCGAAGTACAATTTGGAGTATCATCTAGAGACATAATTTGTTTGACATTTTCCTTTTCATTACATACTTTATTTACGTCTATTACACAATTCTCAGATTCAATTTTTATATTGTTCATTTCATTAGTTTTTGTTTCTTTACTAATATCACTTTTTGATATATTCTTACTGGATTTGCCTACATTATACATTTCTGAATAATTTATATTAGAATCACTATTATTAAGTTTAGAAATGTTAACCGTTGGTTCTATTGTTTTAATTTTCTTCTCTTTTGGACTACAGTCATAAACTGTCGACGAAGTTTTGTTCAAATACCTACTTAACCCTATCAATTTTTCTGAGTTGTCATTTTCATTTACAGTGGTATTGTTTTGTATTTTACCAATTTTTTTGTTGTTAGATTCATCCAGTGTTGGACTTTTAGACAATCTAAAGAATTTTTCAACTGGGTCATCAAAATGTACCATGGACTTATTAATTTTTTTTGAAATTGTTTTCTTTACTTTTCCTGAAGTATTATTCTCACATTGCACTATTATTGGTTTAATAAACGGAGTATTAGTTGGTTGCATGTTTAATTCATCTGAAAAATGATCTTCAATACCATTAACATTTACAACAGATGTAGATTCAATTGATTTTCTTTTGGGTATGGGTTTAAAACCAGATTTTTTTTCTTCTTCTTTTGGTTTTTTATTAATAACTATTGATTTATTTTGTTCATTTGTCTTTAATAATTCAGGTTTATATGGACTCACTGAAATATCACTTCCAAATAGCTCAACTTTAACAGACTCATATACTTGTTTTTTTTTTTCTTCAATATTGTTTATTTTTAATCCGTTTTTTACTTTAGATTTAGTAGACATTTTTAATTTAGGCTTTAAGGGTGTACATTTAACTTTAACTTTCTTCGACTTAGTTGATAATTCACTTTTAGTAGTTGTAGTCTCAATAGGTTGTGTTAAAAATCCTTCCAAACTGTTAATTTTACAATTTATATTGTTTGAAGTTTTAAAATGATCCTGTTCTGGTGGTATAATCAAAGTATCGACGGACATTGAATTTCCTGGTGTAGGAGGAAATGGTGAAATTGGGGCTCTATTTAAATATGACGTTTCTCTGAATACTTTGGTCAAAGGTGTTTCTGTCAATGATTCATCATGTTCTGGCGTACATGGTAACGGTGTGACCATCTTACTTGGATCATATTCACGTATTATTTTTGAAATAGGAGTTTCAGGTACATCGACAGCAGCATCATCACATTTATATGGAGTTTCAACTAGATTGGGTTTAACTGATTCAATGCTAATACACTTTAATGGACTATTTAATTCACTTGAACTGTTAGTATCAATTTGAACAAAAAAACCTTGATCTTTTAAAGGTTTAGTTGGTTCATTTGACTTATTTTCTATTGATGAATAGTTATGATTATGAAATTTTTTTAAAAAATTAGAATCTTTTTCCTGATTTGTTATTTCTGGCATAGTATTTAAAATAGAAGAGTTAATTAACTGATTTTGATTATTTTTCAGTTCATTAACACGAGACTGTTCAAGCTTAATTTGAGTTGCACATTCGCTTTTTGAAGAATCAGATTTGATGGACAGTTGTTTATTATTTAACTCTGTTATTTTATCTGGAGTTTCTAAGGGAATTGTAGATTCACTTTGTTTGTCAAATGATTTTTCATTATTATCATTTGAAGAAACGGATTTAACTGATGGCTGTTTAGTATACAATTCTGCAGTCTTATCAGGAGTTTCTAAGGAAATCAAAAATTCACTTTGTTTTATGAGAGATTCTTTATCATTGATGTTTTTTAAAGAATCAGATATAGTTGGCGGTTCCTCATTATATAATTCTGTTATTTTATCTGGAGTTTCTAATGATATAGAAAATTCACTCTCTCTTTTCAATGATTTTAGATTGTTTAAGGTATTCAAAGAATTAGATTTAATTAGGGGTTGTTTATTATATAATTCCGTAACATTATTTAACGTTTCCAATGAAGGAGGACATTTTGTATTTTTCTCTAGTAGTGGCTTTTGGATATCCAGTAATGGCGTAGAGTCTTGCTCATTTAAACCGTCATAAGTGATTTCAGAAATATTTGATACATCGGTTTGTAATTCATTTGTCGCGATTGAAATATTACTTGATTTCTTTTGATCTTTAAGCAAAACAGAATCATTCTGAACATTGACTGATTTAATTTTTTTTCTTGGCGTTTTCTTTTTTCTCGTTTTTCTTCCATCAGCATCTGACGTTAAAATTCCAGCCCCCACCATTTCTCTAATATCTGTATCCCAATGTTTAATAACCTCTTTTTTAATCATTGATTCAAATCCATTAACTGAACCCCAATCAGCTTGAAGTTTTGGTAAAGGACTAGATGAAGGTTCTTCCAAACATTTTTCAAGTCTTTTAGGGGAGTCACAGAAAAGTTTTGAACGAGCTTGATTTCTATTCATATTCTTAGGCTGTGGAGTACTAAAATCTAAACATCTTATATGAGTGCTTCTTCTACGTGGTGTACTCATACTTTTACTTTTTGGAGGTTTGAGTCTATCATCAGGTGTATCATGAACCATCACATTATTAACTTTAGATGAAACTTCAGGTAATTTGATAACATCATTAATCTCAATATGATTTTTTTCTTGAATTTCAAATGAATTTTGATTAGGAACTTCAATAACAATTGATTTAGGAGTCTGACCCAATGGTTGTCTAGTTATATTTGTTCTCCTAAATTTGCTCCTTATGCCAGGAACTTCTAATAACTGTCTTCTTCGTTTTGGAAATATAAGTTTTTCAGAAGCTGAAAGCAAAACATATTAATTACTTGTAGGTATAATAATATGTTATTGTTATCAATAAGTAGTAAATAAATATAAAGTCTGTAAAAATCACGAAAAAATAACACTCAAAAATCATTTACATATTATAGATTACATTTGTATTTAATTCTCCATATTATATATTTTTAGGTTTTTTTTGTGTTCTTATTTTGGTTTTTTTTCTTTGTTCAAATTAGTATTTAATGGTTACAGTCATATAATGTAATGGTTCAGATACAAGGAGGTATGTACCCAAAATATAAATTAAGTAAACTGTGCATAACCAATCAAAACGTCAAAAATATTATCAATAGATGGGTAATAAAAATGAAATTTATTAAAAGATATATTGTATATCCATTCAATGAAAGTATTACTATGTAAGACGTAAGTACTAAGTACGTACCCAATATAACAAAATATTAAATTATAGTAAAATTAAATGACACTTGCTCAGACTTTTATTTCCCTGAGTTTTTTTTTTGTGGGCTATTTTATCGAGGTCTGTTAAATTTTTGGGGGTTTTTTGGCGACTACCAGATAACGAAACTATCAATACATTTTTATCTAAATTATTATTTTTAGGCTTTGTACTTTATTTCAATCATAACTCTTATTTTTATAATTTATGTTACTAATTCAGAAATACTTTGTAAAAAAACAAATACAATTATTCCCAATATTATAATTATCTGGAATTTTACAATAACCATTATAATTTGCTAAAGTTTCAATAAATTTAAAAACAATAACACAGTTATCCAAATTTTGCTTTATAGGAACTGGTGGGAATTATTTTTATTGTGAATTGTATATGAAACTCGGCTAATTTTGTAATTAAAAAATTATAAAAATGTAAATATATAATATATAATTGGCGATTGAAAGCTTATCAATGTAACATGGGGACAATTTTATATAATAATATATAAATATACTTCTAATGATAAAAAATTAACATTTATACAAATTATTAAATGTTCACAAATAATAATAATAATTATATAATGTTCAATGTTCATAAATTAACAAACTGTTCATACCTTGGTGAGTCTTTAACATGGGAGTTATTTTTGGAGCAATTTTCACATAATCAGATTTGGCATAATAATCTTCTACTGAACAAAAAAAAACAATGCATTAACAAAATATATAAATTTACCATATAAAAATGGCATTTATCCTGGACTTTATGACTTTATCCTTCACAGATTTAAGATCTTTTTTTCTGTAAGAAGTAAGAACTCACAAAGAATCTTGTATTAAATTTTCAAGCTCTATAAAAAAGTAAACCATTTTCAAATATCAATAAATAGCTCAAAAATTGTCGAAATATTTTGAAAATTATATCATGTTAATAAATGCTAACATGAATATTTGCTAAAAATTTCAAGTGTCTACAGATTTTTGAATTGCAATAAAATAACAATATCAAAAACTGGTAATACAATTTTATTCCTGTTTTTTTCAAAATGTTAATAAAGATTAGGAATTTGTACTTTTAACCCAAAGTTAAACAACTAGAACCAATATGCTACAGATACTACTCACAAACTTGAAGATTGAAGCATTTTTTAGCTCAAAAAGATGATGACGACCGAAAAATACAATCAATACTACAGTCATTACCCAGAATCTAAAAACTAATTATTTTCATTCAATTTTATAAAGCATACCTGGCTCTATTTTAGTTGAGTCAATTGATTGTAAAACTAATTGATTTGATAGCAAATCGTAATTCTCAAAAACTGTTGTTTTGATATTACCTTCATGTATCAGTAAAATATTATTGTCAACTTTCAAACATTCTTCATTACCATAAACAATATGTTTAGGGATATTCAAATTATTCTTTTTTGATTTGCTTGGCACATCATCTGAACAAACATATAAAACCATAAAAAAAACTTTATACAATCATTGAGGATAAATTATTATACCTTTTTTTCTGGCACTACGTAAACGGGATTTGATTGAGTTGTCTAATTCATCATTAGTACATGTTTCTTTACCAATATCAGCATTATCAACATTAAAAACTGAAATGTTTACAAAAACTTATTTATATTAAATATTAATGATACATCCTAAGTAAAAGTAGTTGCAAATTAAAAATATATAAATAGATCCATATTAGTGTTACTATAAAATCATATAATATTAATAACCAAAGCTAAATACACTAAAACTTTTATTAATTATACCACCCCAAAAAATGTTTTCTCTCAGCTCAAACTCCAACAATTATTTTGCAAACCTGAATCTCATCATTAATACAACAACAGGGTTTCTTAAATAGCTCTTAGGTTCCTCTTTTTAAAATTTATAGCAAGCTAAAAAGTATTTATTATATTTTATTTAATACTTCTAGTAAAACTTTTACATCAAATTTTAAGTATAAGTAATGATAATTATATAATATTTTATATTAATATAATCAAAATTAAAATATACTAATAAATTTACAAAATTAAATACTAAATTTAACTAGTTGAATTAATTATTTATAATTTTATTGCTATAGACTAGTTTATTCTATATTAGTACTTAATTGTGTACATATTCGATATTCTCTTTTGTAACCGTACCTGTAAAATAGTATAGCCTACCATTTATTATAACCATGTTGTTCATTTATAATTTTTATACTAATTTTAATCCACAGTAAATAAAAAATTTTTTATACAGGTGTTAAAATAATTAATATATCACCAACCCAGAAATAATACCCACCATCCTATTTTCACGTGATTCAAATGTATTCCCTTCAATTCGCTGATGATAATCTATTTTTCAAATATTATTTTTATAGCATTTGTTAAGCTAATTGAAAATTAAATTATTTATTGGCGATTGAAAGTGATAAGATGTAACGGGGACGCTGTGTATCATTTATATGTTATTTTACTAGTTCTCCGTTACAGATCCACCCCTGACAGCCTGATAATTGATAAGCTTTCAATCGCCAATAGTATTAAAATGAATACAACTGTCAAAAACTATAAAACCATAGGTCCACATTTTTGCTATACCTAATTAATATTTATAAATAATAAAAAATGTACTATGTTACCCCTACTTAAATTATTTGTGTTCTAATCATATAATGATAATGATTTTACAAGTAATAAACTTATCAATATTAATTGATGATAAAACTACCTTAAATCATATTTTACTGAGCACTCTATAAAAAATATTTTTCAATATTGATTAATAAATTTAAAAAAAGTTGACAAGTGGGTGTCGCTGTAATGGATGGTATTAAATTTGAATTCAATGATATAATATCATTGTATAAGAAAAACCATTCTGAGCGAAGACGGTCAGTCAGCTTATGATGTTACTAAGTTCATTTAATGATATAATTGTGAATAAACTAAAGTGATTTATATATAGCCTATTTCCGTGGAACCTTGTCTAAATTTTGTCAACATTTGTACTTTAAGTGCTCATAAAAAAAAATTGTATCCATGTATTTTTAAAATTTTTCAACTGCTATTGTAACAATATATCGGAATAAGAAGCTAAAGAAATTGGAAACTGAAAATGTCCATAAACAGCTCAAAAGAAATCAAAGTGTATAGAAAATACTAATATAAACATTCAGTCAAAATTGCATGTATCTACGGTCATTTGTTTTAGAGTTACACTAACAACCAAAATCAGTTTTGTCAAAAACCAATCTTCCATATTATAAATTCCCGTTTTTCCATAATTTTGCTTTTGTTTTTCACAGCGCTTTTGAAAACTACTGGAAAATTTTTAATTTTGATCCCCCAAACTAAGGTCACTTTCCTATCAAAAAAGATACTGTTGAAGAAAATCCAAGCACTATTACTGTCCTAAAACATAATGGCACACAAAAAAAATTAAAAAATTCACACATCATTATAAAATCAATACATTTATAGCTCCGCTCAGAATCTAAAAATATTCAATAAAATTATAATTTCTATAAACTTGTTTAAATTATAATTTATTAAATCAGAATATAAAGACCTTATAGTTTAAACATTATTCAATAATTTTTTTTACACATTATTTGAGGAATAACTTACCTAAAAACTCATCCAGTATGTTTTTAATTTGTGGATCAGACTGAGTAGAGTCTAATGCTTTTTCAAGTGTAGGAGGATCCAAGACTTTACTTTCTAGTATATTGTTAGTTTCGTTTTGAGCGTCAAAAGATTTATTTATAGTATCAGCAATTTTTTCCAATAAACTTTGATCATTCAAAAATGTATCAACTAATTCACCAGTATCAATAGCAATTGAACCATCCTTTATCCTATCTTCTTTAGAAAATCCCGGCATAGAGTCAAGTGATGTCGCTTCAGGTATTTGCTGGTTTTCAGCCTGATCACTATAAAAATAAGGTTTAAAACACTTACATTTACAAAATTATGAATACAATAATTAGTTTATAAGTTACAATAATTTAAGTTTAGAAAAATTATGTTAGGATATATTTCATTACTCTGTATATCTTTAGTCTTATTATTTTTCTAAGCATAAAACCAGTGGGAGAACAATTTTTTTTATTGGGGGGGGGGGGGCTGGAGTTAAGATCTCGTATTCTTAACACTCCATATTATATACTGATGGCAATACTTCCTTATGGTCCTCAAAATGAATGTGCCTAATATTTCAACTTTAAAAACAACAATATTTAATATGGCATAAATTCACTTTAGCTACGCCCGGAATTTTTTTTTTTTTTTTGAAACATGTGTTAAGAATGATGGTGCAAAAATAAATTGTAGAAATCATTATTTTGGAAGTTATATTCTTAAAAATTTTTGGATTTTACGTATTTACATGCATACACACAACACCGTAGGTACTTTACCGTCTTTGAATTTTTATTTTAAGTATTTTAACAAGTTAAAAAAAATGGTGAGATCAGTGGTATATTTATGTTTTACCGGACATCCTTTTTTCAATTTGTTTGATTTAACATATGTAGTTAAGCATGCTGAAAACGATAGTGAAGTCAGAATTTGACGGTGAACTTAGTTCTAAAGTTTTAGCTATTTGAAGTCATTCAAGGTGGTTTTACATAATAAGTCAAGTACCCTAGCACCCCCCTCTGCATTTCAGCTTGCATAAAACTGATATACAGCTGTAGCAAACTATTTGTTCAAAATTGATATCGATTTTAAAAATAAAGCAAAAATGTATCATCACCTAAAACTAGAGTAAGATAGGTATTTATAATATTATTTATACATACCCAGAATATTGATTATGACTATTTTTTGGACTAAATTGTGGTATTAACTCAATATTTATTTTAGTTTGTTCATTTTTCTTTGCTGGAGTACTGCAAATTTGTTTGTTTACTTGAAATATTTTTGATTCTTTTTCGTCAAATTTGGAAATTGTCATTGTACCTGTATTATTTTCTAGTTGTGTCATTGTAGATAAACAGGGCGAAGAAAATGTAAATGAGTTTTTCTCGTCAGTTATTGTGGTTTCATCATTAAATGTGTCAGGTTCTTTTGTTTTAGAAATATTATTAGAAATTATATCAGTGAAAGATGGGACTTCTAATAATTCTTCTGATATACTTTTATTTGCTTCTATATTTATTGTTGTATGTGTACTCTGATCTTTAGTATTAACTGTATTACCAACACATTTGTCAACCATATTTAGTTTTTTCTCAACCAATTTATCTTTTTTCGTTGGTATATGGTTTGTATCCAACACATACTGTAGTTTCTCAATTAATGTTTTAGATTCACATGTTTCAGGTATTCGCTTTTCAACTAAAATCAATACATTAAGAACATTCAAAATTGTTTCATGAATTCATAATTTTTTAATGATGAAAAACAAATAATATGTATAACTTACTCATGGTACACATGGTTCCAAAATTGTCGAATATGTCATGTAAATTAAACCCATTTACTTTAATATTAAACTTTCTATTAGCTTTAAACATTTGATAACATTCAGTCAAATGAGGAGATGTTTTTAAAAAGCACACTGCAGCATCCTCATTTTTTTCTTTCTTTAGATAACCTGATTGATAAATGATTCATTAATATAAAAATCTTTAGTATCCATAAATACTATTACTAATATCAAGATTTTTAAATTTGTTAAGTACATAAAAAAATTAAAAATATATTGTAATTAGTCTTTAGTATGGCATAATATGACCAGAAGTACTTGTTGAATAGATAGACCATTTGTTGAGTAGCTAAAATGTTCAAGTAGATATTTTGATGCCCACAGTTTAATTTATGATACAAAAAAGGAAGTTGTTTGTACATTGCAGCATCAACGTTTACAACTTCCATGAGCGAATCCATGAATATTGATGGTCATTTTAGAAAACCCTAGGTAGAAATACTAGTGATTCAAAAATCTAAATACTCACCATACACTAAACGAGCGACTTCGGATGGCATCAATGGTTCCATTTTTTGCTAGGTGTATGGGCGTATGATGAGTGCCAAGTCGTGATTTTTTGTATGAGAGCGCAACAGGAGACTTCAAGAAACAGATCAACGACCGTGATTTCAGATCGTTCTCACAAAAACGTCAATTTGGGTGGCAATGACCAGTTAATGCTAGTGCAATGCATCGTTCAAGTCATTAATGTTCATTTATTGGTATAAAACCAAAGATATATAAATTAATAAAGAGAATACGACTATAAAACGACTATTGAGTGTATACTAAGTAGTAAGTATACACAGTACACGAAAAAAGCGGTTCACGACTTCACGTGATAACGAATAACGATGTTAAAATATTTACACAATTATATCAGAAAGAGCGGGAAAAGCGACAGTGTGACCATTGAGTCGTTGATTGTAACTCGTGTTTGAATATACCTACCTTATTTTTAAACATAAAATTATTTAATTATTATAATTAACATACTAGACCTTATGTCCTTATACTCTTATAATGAGTATAAGGTCTATGATTAGTAATTGATTATTGGCAAAAACAGGAATCAAATTGTTCACGTTATTTTTGTCGAAAACGACAAAACCATCTATAAAACTTTATTCATAAACCAAGCACGAGCACCAATCATAGACCTTATACTATATAGTAATTTTAACATTTCAATAAACGATGCTGCATGGTGGTAAGCCTTGTGAAAACAGTTCAATTTTGTGTATAACAAAATACTATGGTAGTTTATGACTTAAAAATATTGTACCTTCAAAAAAAATTAACTTTTTTTTAACTGAGATAAGTTAATTTTTTCTATCTTAAGTCTTAACTTTAAACTTACCTATCTAGTTAAATTATTTTTTTCTTTCCGAACTTTTAACTTAACTGAAGGCAATTTAATTGAATTAACTTAACTTGTCACAGTTAATTATTTTCATTAACTTGCCCACCATTGTCTAGTTTTCATGGTTACAACTTACAAGCACAACTAGGGTTAAAATTCTGGGAGGCTACAGCCCACCTAACAAAAGTAACAATGAAAAAGGGGCTCTGCTGTACAGTAGATTACAAGTGGGTCACTGTATAATGGATGCCGGATGGTATTTAATTTGAATTGAATGATATAATATCATTGTATAAGAAAAACGATTCTGAGAGGAGACGGTATGTCAGTCTAGGTATAAGACATATTATATAAATGTCTATGGTATTAAAAAAAAATTGACCTATACTAAATTCCAAATTAATCATGGCACAATGTCCATTAGCCATTAGGTACTTATAATGCGTTATACATCAATAACAAACCATGATACTATCATAGATATATTATAGTAGACAGTAGTAGTAGTATATTTAGTGTTGTACTAAGTATAGATACCACTAGTATTATACTCAATAGTCAATACTATAGTATTGATACACTTTGGTCAAATATTTACGATTGACGTCGCTTAATGTTTATTATTGGTTGCCTATATAAAATATAAATTATACATTGCCCATATATCCACCTTATTTTAATTTTATTTCTTCAGTCCTGTTAAATAAGATTGTATTTAGTATTAGTATTTACTATTTATTTATTTAACGCAATACTATTTACAAACAAATTTTGGAGTATCGCATGAAGAAGGTCCCCGACCAGTTTCTAAATTCTAAATTTTAAATCTATTGCGATTTGCGGTACTTACCACGATTAAAGATATACAGGTTGCACATCGCCCTATAGTAAACCGCTTCCAGACTGATTTACAAAGTGACTATAAAAATCAGCTGTTAATAATTAACTAGTGGCGCTTAATGTCAACACTCAACCATATGTGTCGACATTTAGAACTAATTTTACACCTATATATCTATAATCGGTTAATTGTAATACTGCCGCTTGGAGCGCCACTGGTTAATTATTGGTAGTCATTTCGTATTTCACCTTATCAGTAGTCGATGTGCAACCTGTATATCTTTAATCGTGGTACTTACACGAGCCTACAAATGCCATAGTTTCGGTGGCAAGTATTACTGTTGCGGAGCCACTGTTGTTCATGCATTAATTCGATATCTACGTGTGTGATAAGATAACATTTAAATAATTACCGCGTGAATTTAAATATTATAATCATTATTATTAATACAAGTAAATAATAAAATTGAGTATTGTAATTTTTATATCCAAATCTAAATTATTATACTTATAACAAAAAATGTAAGAATGATAATTCTAACATGTCCTACGAAAAAAAAAAAAAAATAATAATTTATTAAACTTTATCTAATACGTCCTACAAAAATATAATACAACATAAAATTAATATAATTAATTTTAATTAAATATTGTTTGTTACTTTTTTTTTACAGTTCATTACCCGAACATAATTCATAATAATTAATAATTCAAATTTATCTTTAATGCTATTGCTAAAACATCCTAAAATTAAGGAAATTTAGTTTTATTTATTTGCCTTGTTTTTTGGCACCACAAAAGACATATTATACAAAATAATTAATACTATACGTATATTACTTATACTTTTAATAATGTTATGACATTTATACACTAGCAACAAAATAAATACCTGCAGGCTGCAGCATTAATGTTCAGATACTAAATACTACAGTATTAACAGTAATACAAATTGTGTAGGTCGATATATGGTGGTAATAATAATACGACCCATATTCGAAGTGACACTTGATTATAATAAAGATCATTGATATTAAACTATTAAAGATACAATTATATACAACGCGGGAATTCCTATACATGGACAATGTATATAGATAAAGTTTAATAAATTATTATTATTATTTTTTTTTTTTGTAGGACGTGTTAGAATTTTAATTATTGTATTTTTTTTTTTTTTGGTATAAGTATAATAATTTAGATTTAGGATATAAAAATTACAATACTCAATTTTATTATTTACTTATATTAATAATAATGATTATATTATTATAATATTTAAATTCACGCGGTAATTATTTGAATGTTATCTTATCACCGACGTAGATATCGAATAAATACATGAACAACAGTGGCTCCGCAACAGTAATACTTACCACCGGATCTATGGCATTTGTAGGCTCGTGGTACTTACACAGTATTTCGAATAATAGAGATATTTTATTCGGTAACGTTGGTGTATATGTAGAAGGTTAGCGATAAAAATGTCTTATTATTTTTCGAACAACTATCGGGATCCGGTGCAGTCTTATGATAAAACTCTTATCATTGAGGCATTGAGAAATGAGCTGAGCATAGTTGCATACTTCTTATAATCTTATATTCTTATTCCTTTTCATAGGACATAAAGTAATTTCCTTTTCCTAAATCCTAATGGCTTATACTATGCTCACAATTGATTATTAAACAATTCCAGCCAGCATTCCACATTTCCACGCCTAGCTATTAGGGTATGAAATATTATTGTATGATTTATAATTTATAGTTTATACTCTAAAGGCACCTGCAAGTGTTGGAACAGGCTACAGACCACTAGACACTCTACACATATTAGGTAGTCACTTATGGTATTTTCTGTGCCTCAAGTGACACTTCTGCACATCCTAAGCTCAGTGTCAAGACTCGAAAACCCTGTGGTTTGATATGAATACCTGGTGAATATTGAATAAGTCCTTGAGTAATAATCACTAATCACATCCTTTAACAGGTCTTGTTTTGATCCTCAAATGTTTGTGCTTGTATTCGGTATTTTTTCATTGTCGACGGAACAGCAACGAAAATAACCACAAGATCACCAAGATCATTATGTTTTCTAGTAAAATACGGTTTTTTAAAATCACCGTCCAGCCATCATTTGTGTTCAGAACGTACAGAAATGTGAAGGCGAAACCTAACAGACAGGTAAAGAACGACAATGTCAAAGGCAACCCTGGGGGCAATCGTATGTTGGCCATGGTCCTGGATGGAGAATCTCCAGACGTATCTGACGTGGCATTTGAAGACCTCGAAGATGGCGATAATGATATGCTGGATTCGCATTTGTTATATGATCAGCACATGAAGTAAATTATATTTAGTTTGTTAATTTATGTCCTGTTTGATCAAAAATTCATACTATCGTAGAACTATTTTTGATATTTCTTTGCCTGTAAGATTAAATTGAAACGAAAAACTCGCTAATGAGTAATGCACTAGTCAGCTAGCTACATTTTTTAAATTTCTTATGGCTTAATTAATTGTAAATAAAACTTAAGTCTATAAATATTGTAAATATAATTTATGTCTTATTTATAAACTGAATAATATCTTCTAACTTTAAACTTTATTGAATAACTCAGTTTATAAATTGCTGTTGTGAAATAAACATAACTTTGTGGAAAGGTAGAAAAAGATATATTTTTTAATGATTTTTTTTCAATTTTAGGGAAATGAATAAACAAAAACAATTTAAATCATTTCAGAACATTAAACGAAAGTATTTCAAAAGTAATATAGTACAGCCTAATTTTTTAACATACTTTGAAAAACAACAAATAAAAAATTTACATGATAAATCGCCCAAAGAATGGACTCCTCAAACATTATCAACATGCTTCCCAGCATCACCAGAAGTTATTGTTGTAAGTAATTAAAAATATATTTTTATTAATGATTATACAAACTGTATTTTAATTTTTAGAAAATATTGAAATCTAAATGGATATCGGATGAAGGTCAAAAAATATTAAGGCATGATAAATTGGTGCAGCAAAATTGGGAACGTTTTCGTAATGGACAGTTTAAAGATATTTTATCTGATGATCTAAAAAATCATTTAGGAAAATTTTCAGAACGACGACCTACTTTAATTACACCAGAGCGTAAGTAATTAAGTACCACTTACCAGTAGGTACATTTAATTATTAGATTTTCCAATTTTTTTTATTTACTTACATGATTTTTCAATGGACCAATGAGAGCACTTATGCCACTACACCCCCATACACACATACTAATTTATGTTTCGGTTTCAAATCTAATAAATTGTAATGAAAATGATTTATGACTTATGTTCCATATTAATAGTATTACCCTGAAACAATGCATTCTTGATTTTATAGGAATTGTATTATTCCAAATTACAAATATATTGGCTTAAAATAATAATAATTGTGTATTCATTTTAGTTCATAATAAATTATAAATCATTGTTATTGTCTATTACGAGGCATAGAAGTGTAGTGTAGACTAATATGTCCTATGACCACCCCCCAAATAAAGGTATTGTTAAAATTTGCTATGTCGGACGTTTGTAAGCAGGAAACAACAAATGCATGGGTAGCATCCTCTTAAGGATGATATAGGCAATCAAACATCTTGCTATGGTCAACTTAATGAATTGGTGTAAGGCATTTTCATTTAAAATAATGTTTTCTATATTTTACTTAGATATCAGTTTTTTAAATTGTATATACTCGCATAAAATATATTACCTAAATAAAATTTATTTACTTTCAGAAGATTAAATTTAGATATATTTTACAATAGTGCATAAACTTATTTTACAGAAGCCGAAGCTCATATTCCTAAACTAGCTGCAGATTATTTAAAGCCCCAGGAATTTGGACAAATTATAACTAGTTACCTTGGTGAACCCACCAATCCAATTGATGAACCAATTCAAATTGAAACTAAAGATAAACCAAACATTGAGTTGATTTATGAAAATGACACAACAACTAAAAGCAGTAAGAGACATTTCACATTAGACGAATTCAAAAGTGATTCTCGAAAAGAATCTACACCACGGACATTGCCAACAAATGATAAAAGTGTAGACGTAGAAAAATTTGAAGCTAGTTTACAAGAGAATACAAGTGTAGTTTCACGCAAAGAAGTTTCTGCATTTATTGATACAATAAACGATTATCCACTTGCTATTCGAATACCTAAAAAAGTTTGGAAAGAAGGATATATTTATAGAGTCAATGATTGTTTTTATGATGATAATGGAGACTTTTTATATAGAGTTCCAGGTTTAATTAAAGATGAAGATAGACAACAAAAGCAATAATAATATTCAATTGATTTGATTTATTAATGTTTTTAATATTGATTTAAATATATATTTTATGCTACCTATTTGTGTATAATAAAAATAATGTTTATGTAACATTACAAAATAAATACTATTTAATGCCATTTATTTTTTTTTTTTAGAACACTCTTTCAGTTTACTATGATCCGAAAACAAATTTCATAAACTAAAAATAACATTTATTAATTTATTAACACGTTAAGTCTCATTGTATAAGCTCCGCTCTACACTAAAAAACCACTGAACAATTATGTATTAAATGGAAATATTGCCTTTCTATCTGAGTGAATTATAAATCTGTGAAGCGTATGACATGTTTATGTAGTCTGCGGACTATGTCACAGTTAATAACTGAGATAGTCAATGTGTTAATAATATTAGAATAGTAAATAAATAAATGTTAAATATACGTAAAAGTTTTACAGAATTGTAAATAAATGTGATTTGTTGTTTTAAAAGTATAATGACTTTAATTATAATTAATGAAGTGAAATTAAATAATATGGAAAAGTAAAAATGTAAAAAAAATTAAATAATAAATCAATGTTACTGGGTATTTTTTACCTATTTAAATATAATTTCAATGTAAATTAGTCAAATATTCCAAATCAGATGAGATGCTTTTAAAAGTAGGCCCACAAATAATAAGTATGACAAATTTAAGGTAGTTACAAGTAAATGAAAATTTTAAACAAAAAAAATTATACTTCATATCTTCATATTATATTTGGATTTGAAATGATTGATACATTGATAAAACTTTTTATATAAGTAAATTAAAAAAAATTATTTATTGTTATATGATACATTTTTTTTTTTTAAATAAATCACTCAGTTTATCAGAACAACAATAGTATAATACATTTTACATTTATACTTTTTGTTAAAATACAGCTAATAATAAAAAATGTTCATTTTACATGATTGATCCTTAAAACTTTACATAAAATAAATATCAAAATTAAAATACAAATTATTCAATAGCTATAATATTATAAATAACAATTTTTATTGATACTTTGTTATTTCACTAGTTAATAGTTATTAACGTTCTACCAACCAAAAAATATATTTATATCACATTAATTAAATCTATATTAGTATTCCCATAAAGGTGTATCGTAAAAATCAAAAAAAAAAAAAAATTACTGATTGTGTATGACAAAACTAAAAATATTTTCTTATTTCACACAATATAATTATGTATTGAAAACTTAAAACATATAATTTTTTATTTAATGATGTAAATATATAAGTATTTTTGTACAGAAATTTAATTTGATTACTCATATGGCTAGACCAAAAACTGATACAATAACATACATAGTTTTGTTTTCCCATCTAACAGTACAACTACCATCTGTCAAGTTATCCCAATAACACGAACTTGCTGCATGAAAACCAGCACCGTTTTTTTGCATGATCGCACATGTAACTGCAAAAAAAAAAAAAAGGATAATTATTTTTAATAATTATATTACAAATGTTAAAAGTCAAATCAGAGCCCGGCTTAAGGTAAATGCAAGTGGGACACGTACAGCGATTTTAAGTGAATATCTAGGGGTGTCCTTTTGACCATAGATATGGACATATTGTAATATTGTACCAGGTGGCGAAATACCTAAAGTTGGCTCTGAATCAAATAATTTAACACAAACAATTACAAAATTTCTTCTTACCTATATATTTAAAAGGTTTGGCCAGTTTACAAAGTCTTGTTAGGCAGTTTTCAACTACAGAATCTGTCCATTTATTAACCATATTTTGTTGGTATAATTGACTGCCAATTGAATGTTCAATTGAGTCCTTCATAATATCACTCACTTCATCCACCACAAAAAGGGTCTAAAACAAAAATATTTATGAATTTACTATATTTGACAACTATAATACTATTACAGGCAGAACTTAGGAGTTACAGTTATTTTAAGACCATTTTTTTTTTAGGAACAAATCTAGTTTAGCGGCTCTTCGGAATTTCGATTTTTTTTTTTTTGAAACATGTAATTCGACGAGTTTAAAATGATGGTGCAAAAATAAATTTGCCGAAATGATTAGTTTTGAAGTTATAAACTTGCAAAGTTCGCGATTTTCGGTGTTTAAGAACTAAAATTAAAATAAGAATTAGAATTTTTAGAATTTAATTAAATAAAATGATTAATCACTAAAAATAAGAAAAATATTATGGTTACAAATTATTTTATAATATTGTTAGATTAAGAATATATTTTTATTAAATCACTATTTTAACGCTCTTATAATGTGGTCAGTGATTACACGGCTAGCGGCGCCGTCGCTCCGCTCCACAAATCGAAAAATATCCCCCGACTTACTATGCAACACCACCTTAAGTAGGTTACAGGGTAAGTTATGTCGTAGTATATGAGCAGTGATTACGCAGTTAACATGTTTCAGAAAAAAATAATTTTAAAATTCGTTATAAGAGCGTTGAGCGCATGAGTAAAACACCGAAAATAGCAAACTTCGAAAGTCTATAACTTCACAACTAATCATTTCCGCAAATTTATTTTTGCACCATCGTTCTGAACTCGTCGAACTACATATTTTTCAAAAAAAAAAAAATCGAAATTTTGAGAAGCCGCTAAACTAGATTTATACCTTTTTTTACGATGTCTAGTAAATTACCTATTATCAATAATTTTAATTCAATTTCAGTAAAACATATTTTGTTACATTATGATTAATAATGATGTGCAACGCATTAATATAATATATTTACCATAAATTGGTTAATATATATAACAATAACAATAATCATATAATAAATGAACTTACCGCTTCGTTAACATCAACCATCGTTTACGATTTTATTTGAAATAAATTAATGTTTTTTTGTATGATATAATAAATGTTAATAGCAAAAAATAGATTTTGAACTTCTGCTAGTAAAGTTGTCACGGCAACAATTATTTAGTAATATTATGTAAATATGTATTATGTATTATATCGATAAAGCATAATAATATTATAAATTATCACCACGGACCACGAATTAAGATATACAGGAACAGGATACGGAACGGAAAGGTCTTATCAATGTTTTTCTGAGTCCGCCCATTTCTCCGCTGAGCACACGATTAAAGATAATATATTGTTCTATGATAGCAATGATAGAAGAACAATAATAAACAATACCTCCTGGTTAGTGGTTACCACGATATAATATATAGTCCGTGGTGGATACCCAAACCCAATATAACAAAAAAAGACCAGTGACATCAGAACAAACAAAATACCCAGAATATTACCTATTAAAACAAAAGGGAGTAAATAATAATAATGATTAATTATAAATATTTGAAAATCATACCAAAAAGTCCATTACTATAAGATATAGAATAAGTTAAACATTAATTTTATTTAGCATGTATTTAGGTTTGAGCAGACATCCAAACTACACACACTCATTAATTGTTCTATTTAAAAGGATTATTAGAAAACAAAGACTTAAGATTTATTCAAATAATAAATATATTTAATATAGTATAATATATTCATACAATATACAGTATACACTATTTACCTAAATAATTAGCTAACCTAAATTCATTTTTTGTTCACATATTCAACATTAGGTGCTCACTAATTTAGCTTTTTTCAGATTTATTTTGTTTTTTAATTCTTGGTTTTTCATGTAAGAAAATTGCTTCATTCTCATTGTAATATAAATTACAAATTTATTTCATCAACTTATATTGTTTGCACGAGAATTTGAGAACTCTATTTTCATTCTGAACAGTCCTTCAAGTCTTCGAAAATCTTAAAAATGTTGATGTAGCCATGTAGGTACCTATCTAAATAAAAATTCTAATGAGTAGTTTCTGAGGTATTAAAATGTTTATAATATGTACTAAGAATAATAGTCTTCAAAAATAGTATTATTCAAATATAAACTATACTATGTGATATATTAAATATAGCTATATAGTTTTATAGGTAGCTAAGTATTGTAAATTTAAAACAAGGTTTTTCAGAACTCAGAAGTATTTGACAGTGTAACCAAAAATATCTATAAATTATATAAATATGGTCTCATTTAATAGATACCTATTTTAAGTTCATACTTGGAAAAATATTCCTCACTCTTTATTCACCTTCAACTTCTAACTTATAATCAACCATAATAGATAATATTATAAGCTACTAAGCTAGTTCGATTATAATTTATTGTATTTAATTAATGCTCATTGCTCACCTTTACCTTTTCTCCAAACTAGTCACCCAAAGTTAATTCAATATTTCAATGTCTTATTTCTGCTTCCACCTCACATTTATTTCTAAGTATGTATTATTTAAACTCTTCTACCAATTTAATGTACTCCTTATTTTATATCCTTAGCCAATTGTTCAACAGGTCAATATCTAACCTACATAAAGTCGGTCTTCAATTGTTTATTTTTATTCCAGTAAGCCGTTGTTATAAATTATAAAAACAAATCTTTTGCATTTAAATGTTTCTAATTTATTACAATTATATAAAGGACACATGTTTTTTTTAAAGTTATATGACTAAAATAAGTGCTACAATGTGAATGTAACAAATTTATTGAAGTATGATAAGAATTAAAAAAAATTAAAATAAATTTACATCATAAAAGAAGTGGATCGCATTAAAGGTCTAAAATCTGGTATAATGGACTGTTCTTGTGTATTAATTGAATTATTAGGTTTTTTAATTACAGTCTGTGGAGCTTGATTTGATGATGTAGAGGCATAAGCATCAACCACTTTTACTAGGCTTATTTTCACTACTTTATACAAAATAACTATTAATGATGTTTGAAGTAACAATGCTCCAAATCCCTTAAATAAACCTAATCGTCCTTCTTGTGCAACTGTTGTCGCAAAACAGTCTAATGGCCCTTCATAACCAGTTAAAATTGGCATTACTGAAGTTCCGGTATCTAAATTGTCAATAATAGTTCTTGTCCCTTGCAAATAAAGACGGTGCATAACTAACTCCAAAGGAAAAAGAACAGCATCACTGAATGCGGAAGCTGTTAAATCTGAAACTGCTTCCAGTCGTTCATCAATAGAAGATGGAGAATCAGTATCTTTTGAAATAACTTCAGTCTTGCAACTTCGTAGCTCATACATAACTAATAAGTGTTTTACACTTTTACCAACTAATATATTAGCTATGTATCTTGAAACTCCATATGTTACTGTAGGCACAACTATAATCCAAACTGGTAACATTCGACCTAAATAAATACAGATAAAAAAATTAATAGCTGGTCTAATTATTGTTTATCAATAAACAGTTAAAAAAACAAAATAAAAAAAATAGAACATTTGGACAACAATTGTAATTAACTTGATTGAAAATCAAAATCCAAAGAAATGTAACCATAACTCACTAATCAGAAATTGTAATTTTAGAGTATGATTTTAGATAAGAAATATATTGGTTTTATAAAACATTTACAGGTAAATACGTTTATAAAAAGGCCCAAACTTTTCAATCAGCACTTTTATAGGACATTCAAATCAGATATTTAACATAGGTCAAAATTTCAAAATAGAATAGGTACTGTTTTATTTATTACTGCTGTATTTTAATAACTATATTATAAAAGTATACATAACACTATAACAGTTATTTAATATTTTTCTTGCATTATGTTATCAAACTATTATAATGTTTTGTTAAAGATATTGATATGTTATAGGTATTTAAAAGTTATGGATTAATTTATCTAGTGTACCTTTTTGTGGACAGTTCCATTGAAGAAGTCTAATGAAACCTTCTTTAAAGACATCATAAAATGCAGTTTTTTCACTTGCAATATTACTTTGAACGGTTTCTACTAGACATGCTGAATAAAATGGAGTGATAATACTCAAACTTGCACTGCAAAACCATATTATATATTTAAATAATTAACATTATTAATAAGTAAAACTCAGATGCTTATGTACTTTAAATAACTTGAATATCTATATATTTATAGTCTAAAAGTAAATAAAATATGCAATATGCATTAAATATGCAATTTTCTCTAAAGAAAATCAAAACAAAATATAAAACAAAAAAATGATTTCAAAATATAAATATACCTATGTTACCTTTAAATTAGATCAATAAAAAAAACAATCAATTTTATAAACATCTGGGCCCTACTAATTAGTAAAGAGGGGATAACATTCATCTAACTGGATGTTTATTTGAAATATTCAATTTAATTAAATTTAAAAAAAAAATTAATTTCTATTGGTACTTCAAAAATAACAAATTTGTTGCTTAATATACATGTTTTAATATTTTATGGGAAAAATACAACTATCAATTTTACTACATTAGAATTTAGAAAATGTTTTTTTTTTAAATAATAAGTTCATTATGAAGCCATAATTACCATTTTAATATAATATGTTTTCCAAAACTTTTTGAATTATTTATTGAATTGGTATCTCTAAAAAATATTGTAAAATCAAACATAAGTATAAAAGATTACAAATTTATAGATACCAATAATAAATTAATTTACTTTGGTAAATCAAAGAGTTCTGATAATAATGCTTCAATTGCCATTGTTATTCCTTTGATTAGTAAAACTGTCCCAAATCCTTTCCATAAAACACCAATTCCTTGAGTCTTGACAAGTCTATATACTACTGGAATTAATGTAAATGGCACAATATGATAACGAGTTGATGCATAATGTAACTGAAACAATTAACAAATTAGGTACATAAAAGTATAAAAAACTAAAGAGTATTTCAACTTAAAAATGTTTTACGTAATTATGAATTCATATTATTTCATATATATGTAAGAATCGGTCAGGACAATTTATTAAAAAATACAACCGTCTTAAGCTGAGATTGTTTTCTCTCTCTGGCCTATGGCAAATAGAGATGGGCAAAATATGTTGAATATTAATGTGTCAATGCATCAACATTTAAAACATTGATTGTTTCTTGGAAAAAACCTTGATGTTTTTCAATGTTTAATAAAAAAAATTTTTTAATTCTGTTCTAACTTTTAAGGGTTTAATCGTGGGTAACACAATTTGCAAATTAAGATTATATTTTTTCTCATAGATTTATATGGACCTTTCATATTAGTATGTACTATGTTTCAAATTCAATATATTTTTCAAATATAAATTCAAGTTTAAAAAAAAAAATATAGGTAGGTATAATTTATGAAAAAACATAAATGTTTTTGCCCACCTCTAATGGCAACATTACAAAAATTATAGAGAATATTATTTTTGAGGATATGATATAACAATTTGTTTAAATATTGTTTCAAAACAAATTAAATATGATTTTATTTACAATTTTTTTTTTTATTTTGAAAGTCAAATAACAAAGTAAAATAATAACAAAAAATAAAACTGAAATATCAAACTCTTAAAAAATATTACTCTCTATAATTTTTGAAATAGATGATTTTACTTTAAGATTACTCTGATAACTCAAAAATTAAAAAAAAATTATTTTAAGTGAAAGCGTTTCATCTGTTGTGCACGAGTCTGACAGAGAAAATAAATACTGCACTGACATCAGGTTGCATATAAATATGATCTGCACTTTTTACATTATTAATTAATAATCACATTATTTTTTTTAACTATTACTTATCTACAAGTATACCAAGTTTTTTTCAAATTGAGAATGAAAAGTACAATGGATGATTTTTGTTTCATTTTTTTTTTTTTTTTTTTGTAATTAAAATATTTATTCAATCTGTTTCAATACATGAACAATAAGAACAATTGATGAAAGTAAAAATAAAATAAAATAAAAATAAATGACAGATTATCCCGAATGTAGAGGCCTCCCAGCGGAGGTACTACGACATGAGTAGGACTAAATTAGGCTAGCAGGTCGCGACACCACTGTCTTTTAAGTCTTTTAACTGGGTTACCTGGGATAGAAGCAGATGATAGGTCGGAGATTAACGGATTCTTATGGTGAGCTAGGCGGTTATTGAAACGTTTATAATGAGTTTTGGCTAGTTCAGAGACAAATGGTATTTTGAGATCAGTGTGGAGGGTGTGGTTAGAGACATAGAATGGTGCTTTTAGAATTGTGCGTAGAGTTTTGGATTGGAATCTTTGAATGCGGTTGATGTTGGAGATTTTGGCAGCGCCCCATAGTTGAATCCCATAAGTCCAGATGGGTCTGAGTAGGAGTTTGTAGAGCAGGAGTTTGTTGGAAGGTTTCATGTGCTTTGATGTTAGAAGTGGACGAAGGAGCCGGAAGCGGTCATTTAGTGTACGAGTTTTGTTAATTATGTGAGGTTTCCAAGTGAGACGGCGGTCGATAAGGATACCGAGGTAACGTACGCATTGCGCAGGGGGAAGTGGTTGGTTGTTGAGATAAAGTGTTGGACATACTCCTTGACGAAGTGCAAAGGTACCGTGGATGGACTTGGTTTCGTTCATTTTTACTCCCCATGTTTTGTACCACGATTCAAGGGAGAAGAGATGATCTTGTATGTAGGAGGAGGCTAAAACAGGATCAGGGCTGGTTGTTAGTATGGCTTTGTCGTCAGCAAAATCACCGACTAAGGTATGGGGTGAAGTAGGCTGGTCGGAGATGTAGAGATTGAAGAGTAGGGGAGCAATTACTGCGCCTTGTGGAACGCCTGCTTTTATTTCAGTAGGAGAGGAGAAGGAAGAACCTACACGTACGGAGAAGAACCGATCTTCGAGGTAGGATTTGAGGATCAGATAGTAGTGACTAGGAAGGATAGGTTTTAATTTATATAGGAGGCCTGAGTGCCAGACTCTATCGAAAGCTTGGGAGACGTCAAGGAAAGCACCAGTGCAGTATAATTTTTCCTCTAGGGCAAATGAAATTTTGTCAACCAGGCGATGAATCTGATGGATCGTTGAGTGACTGTTGCGAAAACCAAATTGAGAGTCAGGTAGTATTTTAGCTTCATCAACTATTGGCAGTATTCGTTTGAGAAAAAGTTTTTCAAATTGTTTGGAGAGAGTTGGTAGGAGACTTATAGGCCTATATGAGGAAGGACAGTCAGGGGGTTTTTTTGGTTTTGGTATTAGTATTATGATAGAATATTTCCATAATATAGGAAAGTATGATAAACGAAGCATAGCATTGTAAATTTGTGTTAGGAAAATTATGGTTTTTCTGGGAAGGTGTTTGACCACTTCCGTCGAAATTAAGTCAAAACCAGGAGATTTTTTCGGGATTTTTGTTTCATGAACATTAACTTTCTTTTGAACTATTAAAATTAATATCCATATAGTTGGAAGAGTATGAGTTATTTTCGATATTTTAAATTTTATATTTACATGAGTGGAGTAATAAATGAAAAAATTGTAAGGTAGGTACTCAATTAGATTTTTTGTTTGTTGGATATTTTGACTGAGGTGTTTGTTGTAGAATAATTGTTTACAACTCAAACTGAGTTACACTGTCATAAATACACTAAATTAAATTCAAAATTGTCTTTTAAGTAAAAATCAAAACAAAATGAGACATACCTGGCATTGTCTTCGCAACACAATAAATGGATAGCTCACAACATGCTGCAATATTAGACACGTTGGTTTTAGACATTTGTTCACAGTATCATTGACTAGGATATCTAAATAAAAAACCAAAAGTGGAATATTGTTATTAATATTTGACTACTTAAGTATAATACTATAATATATTATGTCATAAATTTAAAATAACCTTTGTTTTTAGACATTTCCATGAGTGTTTCACGGTGTTGTCGTCTGATCATTTCGGGGTCCTGAAAATTCTGTTGTAGCTGCGATGGGTGTTCTGATATACTCCTCGAGGGTCGGTGTCTTTGGAAGTCCATATTGAATGATTCTAACCCGGCCATTAATAACAAATATTTCCAAAATACTCAATCTATTAATCTACATATGTGTTCAATTAGTAATTACAATAATTATTTCAATTTTCAAACAAAATCATGTATTAGGTAAACGACAAATTGTCATATTATACTAATGGGTATTCCAATTACTATGTATTACATTTTATTTTTTAAAACAGATGATCATTCAAAACAAATTGATCAAAAGTAAAAACACCAAAACCAAACAGAAAAGATTACAATATTATAATTTATCATGTATGTACTACATTATTGATTATTAACATTATAGTAAGTTCAAAGTTGTACTTTTGAGTAGTGGTCATGGGAGTACGAATTACCCGATTTTGATAACAAAGAGATACTATCAAAATCGATATCACATATGATCGATGTTGGTCATCCTGTCGAGTTCTGTTTAACCAGGGTATAGACACTCTGTGTATTGGCAAAATCGGGTGACTGTGGCCTTGAGCACGGTCTCTAAGGGGGCGTGGCATATGTTATCATTTAAATAAATCATATCAATAATATCAGTCCACAGAATAATACAATATATTATTTCACTAACAATAAACCAATGTAAAATTACATTATAGTTTTTAATTTATATTAAAACAAAATCCTTATTCATTTTACCAAAATGTAATATTGATATACTTAAAATATGAAAAATAAATTATTATAAGTAACCATGAACATTAGAGGAAGGACGCCGAACACAGCAGAACGAAGCGTAAAAACATGGTCCGGAATTATCGCATTCCGCCAGAATGCGCGTCGGACCGTAATGATGTCGTTTTTACATATTGTATAGCATAGGACATTTAATGGTTTTTTATTATTATAATCTAAATGGTGAAATTTATGAATAATTACTATAGAACATTTTTTTAAAACCAAATTGCCCTCGATCGAATATAAGTGTTTCCAATAATATACGACTTTTATAAAAAGAGACAACAACTATATCTTTTTTTATAAAAGTCGTATATTATTGGAAACACATATATTCGATCGAGGGCAATTTGGTTTTAAAAAAATGTTCTATAGTAATTATTCATAAGTTACACCATTTAGAATATAATATTAAAAAACCAATAAATTCCCTATGCTGTACATGTAAAAACGACATCATTACGGTCCGACGCGCATTCTGGCGGAATGCGATAATTCCGGACCACTTTTATATACACAGTTCGGCGTCCTTCCTCTAATGTTCATGTAAGTAACCATTGCTTTGTATACGTTTATAAAAATTCCGTAACAAAGAGGGATACACGTTGCTAACGTTCTATCAGATTACGGATACGGTACAACTTTTATAGTCCAATACATCATACCGTAGGGATACATAAACCCTCACAGCTGATCGAGTGTCTATTCTATATTGTTCTGTGGTTTAACACAAAATGATAAGGTATCGAAAAGAAAAAGAGAGAAAAAGCATAAACAACCGACGGCCGACGCGCGGACATTACAGTATTGTCTTATTCTGTGGTATAGTGTTTACTGTTTAGTACTTTATTATATTACTACATAATACATTAGTCATTTACTGCACAACATTCTTAAAGTTATTCGTTAATTGTTAATCATTATTGATATTATATAAGATTCCCCATCGTAAGTACACTGGGAAGTACACACGTTTCGAAAAAATTTTCCGGTTTTCTCAAATTTCGTATCTGATACCGTTGGCTGGGTGTGTAGTATAAAATATATCAAACGGTCTGGCCCTTGTCGAGACTTTCGTTTTTGTACCCTTAATTTTCTTTTTTTATTCAACTGCTCTGCTGTAGATTTTTATTAGTTATGTCGGATACGAGTAACGTCAACAGGATTGAAGAACTCGGCAAAATGAAGGTAAGTACGGCCGTGGCGGTAGAAAACGTGTTTCCCGTCGTTAATGATTGACAAAGATTGTTCAGTATAATAATTTGTTCTATCAATAAAGCGATTTATGAACAACAGTGTGTATAATTTATTGTTCTCTGTTTTTTTCGTTTGTGTTCACTGGCATAGTTCCGGTATTTATTAGGCACTCTTCATTTAGGGATTGTGACAATTTGTCATAGATAGGTAGATGTTAATCATTTTATTGTCAGTAGATAAATAAAATAAATCATATTTTTTCAGTGTAACAATGTATTATTAATACCTACTTAATGTACCTGATATTACAACTTATTAAACTCTGTGCCTAATCATATGATGCCACTAATTTCTATAGATATTATTGTTATGACTATGTTCTATATTATACCTATACAGCTATACTTAAATGTAATATTGTGGTTGACTAAGCAGTTAATTGAATTTTATTAAAATATGTAGCTTAATTTTAATTTTGAAGGATTTGACCAATTTGATAATTAGCCTCCTTCAATCTTAATTCAAATATATTCAACTAGAAATTTTATAAATAATACCTACATATTTTAAATAGTTATATTGTTTTATATGTAAATTATAAAATATTAATATTAATTATAATAAACAATAATTAAACTAAGAAGATATTTTATTCATAGGTCAACGATTTGAAGAAAGAATTGAAAGCAAGAGGTTTGAGTACAGTTGGAAACAAACAAGAACTCATCGATCGCATGATTAATCATTCAGAATCTTCAGGTTTGTTTGGCATAAAAATTTATACAAGATAGAAGGTTTAGAAACCCAACGAAAATTCAGTTTTAGATATCGAGGACACCGTGCTGGATGAGCACGACATTCTAGATGAAGATGACGCGTTAGAAGTAATTATTGTTAATACCCGTCATTGTCAAACATGTTTACTCATTTTAGTTAACCTTTTGATTACCTAAGGATGATTTGGGTTACTCCGATATTGATGAATCAAAAGTTCTTGGTGACATTGCAGAAAAAGAAGAAAACAACGTGGAAAATGGCAATATTCATGAAGAAAAAGAGGTTACACAGGTATTTTATTTATTATAATTTATACTAGAACTTCAAAAGAATTTGTTAGGATTCTTAGTTTAAACAAAATCTAGCACATTGATGGTTGCGTGGTGAGTAATTTCTTCTCCCCTTGATAATATTTTGTTTATTGGCTTATTGTTTTAAGAGGATATCACACCTCCATGTGTTTTCTCCGTCTAAAAAACATACAACATACAAATTTTGTGTTATAAGCTGTAATATTAGAGTGAATAATTATTGACTATGATTAAACTTAAAGGTTAGGATGTTGTTTGTATTCTATAATTGGTTTTTTACGATGATTTTTATGATGAAATATTAAAATACAGTAGAACGCTGATTATCCGGATTAATTAATGTCAAGGATTCCAAACCGGATATATAAATATATAGATAATTGACCATAGGTTCACTTATACATACCGAACTATCGCCGCTGCAGCGATAGTCTATAATAATTAGATGTAATGATTTTATGTACTTAAAACATTATAAATACTAAAACGGCGGATATCTAATCCACGGTTACAGTTTATAAAATTATCTTTTTTTTTTATCCAGATAATCAGCATTCTACATTATATAATTACTCATAACTCTCTTAAAAAATTTAAATGTCTTAAAAAAATCTGTGATAAACGTAATTTGGTTATTTACAACACATTCAAATTATTAAGAGAATTTCTTACAAGCAACCATTGACATACCTATAAAAAATAAACACAACCCGCAACGGAATAAAAATAGTATCACTTCTAAATAATAAAATTTGATTAACTTTTGAATTGTATCATATTAAGGTAACACAACCTAAAAAGGTAACACTAAAACGTACTTCTGTAACTGTGTTGAATGGTGATGGTATTAAACCACAAGAAGAAGAGAAAAAAACTGAAGACATTGAAGAATCAGATGGTAAGGACCGTATCATCAAATTAGATGAAGTCGAAACTATGAGCCAAATCGAGGTAAACATTGAAATTTTTTTATTTTTAATTAATTAACTTTAGTATTTAAATTAATTTATAGAGAATACAAATGAGAGCAAAAAAATTTGGAGGTGAAGTTTCGGAGGACAAAAAATTAGCCCGACTAATTAAATTTGGAGCTGTAACTGATCAAGTAAGTAAACGATCATTAATACTTTTAAATGTATTAAACTTAAAATAAAAATAATAATTACCAAAATTGAATATATTTGCAAAATTAATTAAAATGATTTTCCTTCATTTATGTGCTCATTTAATATTCGTAAATTAATAGGGCTTTGCACTACTGTATAGTAGGTGATGTGTACCTTGTCATTGAGTAGGTTATTGATTGTAACGGATGTGTTAAAATTGAATTAAATCATTGTATACAGTTATTATCTCAGGCTTCTGATAATATTTTAATCATAACATTGACAATGCATTGTCTTCACAAGCTCTTATCAGTTTATTCCCTTAATATCTTTAGTTAGCTATCAGGTAAATTTATATTTAAACAAACATTTTTGAAAAAAAAATGGTCACTCATTATCTTAGAAATTAAATGAAACGCATTTTAATTTAAAAATTATTTTTCATTCGTTATATAAAAAAAAGCAGAACTGCCTTCATAGTTGGACCCTACTTATAAGTTAATATTGACCACTATGTGGGTGATTTTCAACTATACTCTGTTCAGTGAGACAAACTTCCGGTTCTGTGTATCCCCCCGCGTCACCCTGCTATTGAAACCAGTTCCCCTATGGAAAGATGTTGCGCTGGGGAATCAGTTTGTGTGCGGTGGGTTTTCTTGCTGAACAGAGTTTAGAGAATTATTTTAAAATGTTAGTAATTATAATGAACTTCAAACTCTGAAAGTAATAAATCATGACATACAAAAAACTATTCTGTTCAAAGATAGTCTTTCAGCCTATATTACTAAATATATTTTATGATATATTTATATTACTATCATGGTATTTTATTTTGCTATTAGTAATATGGTAAGTTGAATTAATTTTTGCGGAAAACATTAAATTTTTTATAATATTAATATTTAATTAATATAATAGTTTATATTTATGTTATTTATTATTGTTATTAACTTTTGAGTCAATACTGACTTACTGTATAGCAGTGTGAATAAGTTTTTGATATAAATAGGCAATACCATAATATTTTCAAAATAAAATTTTGTACAAACTACTACCAAATAACTAAAATTGTTATTCTTCGTTTAAATATCAAATTTTGTTAATTTATATTTTTAGATTTTTTGTTCCAGTATGAACTTCTTATGAGGAATCTTATATTACAATTTCAAGCCAAAGCTAAAACTATACAATTTATGAAAACTATAAAAATTGAACATTTAAAATTTTACTACTGTAATTTTGACGATTTTGTCAAGATTTGAACTTTAAATTTTAATAGAAAGTTAAACTTTTAACTAGTTTAAACTAACTACTTATAAGATAAGGAACCGGGAATTACATTTTCAATCTTTTTCGAAAGATAGAAGATTATAAGATCTAATATTTGTTACCCATTTTGCTTTTAACTCCCAATGATCTTGCTCCTTATAAATATCCTTGGTTCTGTTAATATTAGTACCCAGATGTGCTTAAGTAACCTGAAACACTCTAATAATGTAACCATAGATCAACATTTATCGTATGAGTCATATGAAAAAAATATGGGACAATACTACTTTAATTAAACATAATATGATAATATATATTCATAAAAATGATTTCTATGTAATAGTCTAGTTTAATTAATAACTATATTTTTAAATTAGAAACCAGTAGCCAATGTTGATAATGACAAATTAAAAATGAGAGCTGAGAGATTTGGTGAAACTGTTTCTAAAACTTTGCATGATGTAAGTATATTGTTATTTGTTTTCTTGTGTTTATTAAAACTGAGCATTTATGTACATAATTTTTAATTCGGCAAAAATAGTTGTAGATTTTGTATAAACTACAAGTTAAAATTATGTGTTAGGCTCAATTTAATCACCTAATTAGACTTAAGTTACAATAATTGTAACTTGTAAGTCTATATTACCTAATGTGTTATTATTAGACGTGTATAAAAGAAACTTGTAACAGACTATATTGATTTTAATTTTTTTTTTTTTTTTATGTGTAATGTATTTTTTTATATTTATTACTTTTTTCTTATATAGAGCGAAAAAGAAGACAAACTTAAAGCACGTGAGCTTCGTTTTGGTTCAATTGACAAAACTGTATTAACGGCTATTAAGAAACGCACTAATGGCGATGTTGGAAAACAGAAGAATTCTAGAGGTGGTAAAAGGAGTTTTCCATACAAAAAACGGTATTAATTTTATTTTTGTAATGTGTTTACAAATTGACTGTATATTAAATTTTTTATATTGATTCCCACTATAATCAACAATTTCCCCTTAAGTTTTTTTTTATCTGTATCAAAATCGTTATTAGTAGTGTATCCGGAATTATTATAATGAAATAAATAAAAGGAATTTGTACATTCCTTTCTAATCAGAAAACATTTAAATTAATTTAGTTTTACTACACAATAAAATAAAATTTTGTTGTGTGTTTGAAATACTTAAACTTTAGAAAAAAATAAAAAATATATATAAATGATTTGGTTAATAGTTATTTTACATTTTTATAATGTCTATATCTGTTGCTCTGAGTTCTAGATATAATCCCTAGTAAATACTTAACATTATTGATGTATTCAAATATATTTCATACATTTTTTGTACTTAAATTTACTTTAAATGAAAATTATATGAGGCTTTAAATCAGGCAGTTGATAATTTCCTTATATGGATGATAATTAAATACATATTGTATATAAACCTTATGAGCTATTGAGTCTCAACAGTTGCCAAAACTGCTGTTATTTGTTAATTCAAATATTCATTAAAGAATAATTCCCAAAAAATATATTTAAAATTATATACTGTGCACAATGGTAGAATTGTTTTTGTATGTATTTGATAAAGAGCCATTAATTACTAGTTTCTACTAATGTTGTCAAGTAAGCATTTAGTGAACGTTTAAGGCATATTATAATATGCAGTTAAATGGAGTTTTCATGTTAAGAACGTTAAGATGTCTTGACTTTAGCGAAGGGTGTGACTTCAATACCCAACATGTGTACAGATGGTTGACTGATGGGTGTTGCCAGCAACCTACAATCATAAGTGGTCACTTCTGACTCCTTTTTAATCTAAATGGAGTTTAGTCACGTTTAACTCAGAACTCTTGGTATTCGTACCAAGCAACTAAGCAAGTAGAGGTTTTTGCGATCTGTACAGAAAGCGGTGATGATACTGCAAATGTGAATGAGAGAAATATAAGGCCATAAGGGTAGTGTTACAACATGTGATCTACTAATATTCTATTTAGTACTCATGAGTTAGATGTGTGATCTATTTGTTTTAAGTATGTATATTGAATAAAACAATGTTATACATCCATTCAATGTAAGACTTTTCTTATTACAATAACTATTGATGTTTTTGAAAATATTTTTTATCGTTTTAATATTTACTTTTTGAATGACAACATGTATTTTTAATTTCTTACTTCAAATCAAGATATTTTCGTATTTTGGACAAGTAGCTTATAAATTATAAGGAAGTATTTAAAGTTAAGATAAGTGGAGTTGTCGGGGGTACCGTGACTAAATATGTTATTTCACCACGCCACACATCAATTTTTTTTTATTTAAAAAAAATAAATATTTACAAATAAGCAATAATAAATAAAATTACGAATGAGTATCCGTTAATCTAAAACTATAAATTAAAGTTATAGTTTATAAACTACTTGTCCGAATTTTTTAGCTCAAAATATTCCCAATAATATTCTGCTCCTGAATATGAAATAAAAAATGTATGTTGTCATTCAAAATATCAGGAGACTTGTATTACATTTTTACACTTTTTGGTCCAACAGATAAAACTTAATTGATATTTATAGAAAAAAAAACTTTAAAAATTGAAAACTGTAAATGTCCGTAAACAGCTCAAAAAGCTTCAAAATATTTTCAAAATTGTATGGTGTATAGGAACTGCTAATATAAACAATCAGTGAAATTTCCATGTATCTACAGTTATTCGTTTTTGAATTACAACAAAATAAGAAAATCGCTACACGAGAAATTGAGTGAATATCCAATGTTGTAAAAATTTGAATTTGAAAATCTCATAAAAATTTAATTTGACTTATAGACATTTTTTTTTTGATAAAGGTAGATAATCTTATAAGGAATCTTGTATTACATTTTAAAACCTTAGATTTAAAAAGAAAAATTTTTACGAATTCTTAGCTCAAAATAATTTGCTAATTTTCGTGATTTTGTCAATTTTTTTTTTAAATGCTTATAAAAAAAAATTGTGACTAAGGATTTTTAATATTTTTCATCTGCCTTTGAAACAATATACTAGGAGCTTTCCATTAAATTTTCAAGCTTTGGCATCCAACAAATAACATTTTATTGATATTTTTAGAAAAAAAACTAAAAAAAATGGAAAATGAAAATGTCCCTAAACAGTTTAAAATAAATCAAAATATTTTGAAAATGTTATCGTGTATAGAAAATGCAAATATAAACAACCAGTGAAAATTTCATGTATCCTACAGTCATTTGTTTTAAAGTTAAACCAAAAAACAAATTAAATTTTGTGAAAAATTGATTTTGCCTAAAAATTCCCGTTTTTCCTTAATTTTTCTTTTGTTTTTTTGGCGCTTTTGAAAATTACTAGGAATTTTAAATGTTGACCTCCCAATGCACCAACGGTATTCACTCTCCAATCGAACAAGATACTGAAGTCGAAAATAGAAGCATTATTTCGACTACTTACGGTGTACACAGACACAAAAAAAAAAAAAAACACGCATCATTGTAAAATCAATACGTTCATCGTTTCACTCAGAATCTAAAATGATAACAAATTAAAATAGATAAGAATGTTGTTTTGTAACGACATAAAATTATGTAAAAGCAATGATTTCAAAAAGGTTAGTGTTTTTTTGAAATAATGGTTGTCTTATACTCTTATAATTGTCGTGCGTTAAATGGTGACCCCGTTGCCGTAATTCTTGTATAGTTGCACTAAAGAGGACGCCATGCCCACATGTGTTGTCTTCGTCTTACAAATGTACAATACATAGCAAAAACTGTTTTGCGCGGGACAACTGTTCTCGCACCATATTTGTTGTAGAACTACCAAATTTCCACAACACGTAGAGAAGGACTTTATTTGTGCAACAGCGTGCCCATATTTTGGATAATGTAAATACAATAAAACTTATTTGCTCATACAAAACGATTGGATGGTTGGTGCTGTTAAAAAAAAGCTCGCTGTTTGCTATGTTGTACATTTGTAAGACGGAGACAAAATGAGGGTGGTGGCGTCCTTAATCTTAATTTTCTAACTACAAAACGATGTAGATAAAACGTTTTGTCTTTATCATGGTATAAAGGTTTGATGAGGACCATCTACAGTTGCACTTTGTAGGGAGGTACATTGTACATTCCTACAATTCATTGCTACACGATTGCGAACATTTTACATTTGTGACAGCGATTTTTCAAATGATGATGTTAACTGTCATTTTTCATTGTTGTAAAGAGTATTGTAAATTTTCCATAAAACTAACGACTGGTAATTTTATAGTACACATATCACTACACTTTCTATATTGTAAGGAAACACAAACCGTGACATTGTGACAATGATGAAATCGATTGAAAACAACATAACACAAGGTAGGTACCTAATAAGGTACCTATCTGAAAATAGGGATTTGATCATAAATTCATAATCTAAGAATAACTGGCTCAGTACTTAGGATAAAAATGTAAGGTAAAGTAATGATAACATTTTAATTTATATGATTGACTAATACGTAAAACTACGGTTAACGCTTAACCGTGATTAACTGAGTTGGTGAAATCGGCCCTAAGTATTAATATTTTTTTACAATATTTAAATTAGAGTGTGCGAATATCCTTCTATGAGATTTACAAGTATCTATTTAAGTACATAGCCTATATATATATTAGTACATAGGCTCTGATCACATAAATCATAAAAAAACAAAATCAGATATAAAATATGATCAGAGGCCAAGGCAATTACTTTAAAAAAAAATAAAATGATTTTGTCGATAGTTGAAAAAAAAATCGCTTTTAAAATTGTAATATATTATTATTCTTTAAGCGTTTGCAGTGATGTGTATTTGCGTCACAATAGTAAAAGATCTTAAGTTTAAGATCAGTTAAGCGTGACTGTATCGAAACACCGAGTTCTATTATAGTGCGATGTATAATCGCCGGAAGTCTGCAGGTATTTTAATTTCACATTTGTCAATACGAAAATTATCGTATTGACGAAACGACAAAGTACTACCTAACTATATTATATATACGTCGTGTGTGACTATAGTTTATACTTTGAACATATAATATGTATATTATCTCGGCGGCAGGTTTTCATTTTCTATAGGTTCTGCCAATGTGCAATGAGTGGTATTGTTTGATCAACAACATGACCTATAACATGTCATCTACAGTTGATAAATGCGTATTGAGTGTTGTTTAAAAGTATCATTCCCAGTGCGGCGTATTTGAGATTTTGCTTCCCTGGCTATACATTTTTTTAAAACTCTTCCCCCCGGTTTTTTTTAGTAGACATTTTTCTCAGCCATATATTTTATAAAATAAACTTACAACACGTGTGATATGGTAATAGTACCATGCAGTATAAAAATCTATTGAATGCCCCAGAACGTTGAATATCGTAGGCAGTAGCAACGAATAACTAAATAATTAAAGCAAATTGTAAAATTTATCATTTTTTTTTTTATTTATTTATAAAATTAATATTTTTTATAATGTATTTAATAATACCTACATTATTTTAAATAATATTTCTTTCTAATTGCCGCATGTATTATATGCTTATAAATATGGTTTATTGCATTAAAACCATGGTTAAAATCAATATAAATATTTACGGAAAACGACCAAATCGTCCAATGATAATAGTTTATGTAACAATATCACGTAAATATACTTATTTTTTTCAGCAAATTTACTGTAGTCTGTCAGCTATTAAATATTAAAACCGCTCTCCTGTACATTATACCATTTTTTATATACTGCCCTTTTGTACTGACAGTACGATGTTACTATCACCATAGCCCACAATAAAATATGTTTAATTTAGGCACAGAACAATAGTATTAGGTATTCGACGACAAACCATAATTGACTCGCACGTATATTTACAAATGTGGAGATGCGCAAAATGGCTTTGTTATTTTGTCAATATTTAAATATTAATTGAACGTTTTGTTGACATTGATTTGCCTAACTACCTAAATCAGTCTAAAGATGTTTTGAAAAAAAAAACTCCCCCAAAAATTTGCTGCCGGGTCATTCCCACGTGACGAGCAGATACAAATACATCGAGCTTGAATAATATGTGAATATGTAGGCATATCGTCCATGCCGCATCATTTATTTGATTCGTATTGTCATAGGTATATTATTATACTTGTCCTATAGACAGTAAAGATAATAATAATTCGTATTATCTATGATTTGGTCCTGGAAACACGGCGACAAGTTGAGTGTCAGTGCAAAAATCGAATGTTTTTATTGAAAGATAGACGCGACATGCTATTGCCTGTTGGAATCACAACCGAACTAGAACACTTCGATGTAATCGAAAGCTATACTAGAAAAGAAAAGAAATTTTGAACTCAAACTTGTCAACGTACATATTATTATACCTGATTTAAGACGATAATTTCCTATTGTATTAACATATTTGTTGTACAGGTACAAACGTACAACATCTTGTACCTACATATCTGATATATCCATTTATCGTTGAAATAATGTTTTCTTTATTAATGCTATGATAATAATAATAATAATAATAATAATTACAATAAAAATTCAAAATCAATAATAATTATAATTATAACAAAATTTCAGAGCTAAAATTAATATAATAAATGTTTAATAATAATGATACAGTAATAAACGGCGAACGTGATCGTTGTGTTTTAAAAAAACGTTATAAACATTTTCGTAAATATGTTTTGTTGAATATATAATATGATTTACCTGCTAAAAAATTGATAGTATTTTACTAGGAAAATTGTATTATTAAAAAAAGCATTATATAATATTTATTATTATATAGTAGTAAACACAATAAGCACCAGTCTTTTTATAATAATATGTTAATAATATCATATTATGTAGACTTGTAATTTTTTTTTTCAAAAATGCTATTTAAATACCAAGAAATGATTTATTTAAATTGAAAAATGATTAACTTCTTGTAAAATGCATACATATTATAGTATATTAGTATATACGTATGACATTTTTATTAATTTTTTTAATGTAACCGACCGATCATAGTCGTTCTCCAAGAGAGAACAGGTATCGTTTGAACTCAATTTATTATATTTTATGTATTATATATATAATATACATATATAAACCCCTAATGAAAAAAATAAAACAAAATTTCGTTTGACTAGAATAATAATAATAATAATAATAATAATATAATAATAATAATAATAATAATAATAATAATTTAATAATTATATAGGTTAAGTATTATACAAGTGTGAGGTGAAAGAACAATATATAATATAAGATACTTAAAAATTAAAAAGAAAAGAAATTATTTTACAATTTAATTTACATAGGGTACACGCCTATAAAATATTGTACGAATAATAAGTAGGTATTAAATTTTTTTTTTTCTAAATCGATTTTTTTTTTATTTAACAATGAAAAGCATTTTATATCACTTCGAAAAAAAACATGATATTATCGCGATTTTATTTTAAATAGATAGAACGAATATAAAGAAAAAATAAGTATAAGCAGATTCTATATATTATGTATGAACCAATTGGTTATATTTCAAACAATGAATTTGATAATATGATAGATATGTGTTGTAGTTTGAATATTATATTTTGTGTATGAAAAGTTAATACGAAAAAACATTTTACGAATAATACGAATTACACAATATAATTTAAATAAAATAATTGTAATAATGTATTAGGAACGTATATATATAAATATTGATATATATATATATATATATATATACACACAACTGTAATAATATATATGTTTGTTGATTGTGAATTAAAAAAAAAAAAAAAATATTATGAACCTAAAATACTTTCATATTATGCGCAAGTCTTTTTAAATATCAGTTAGTATATAATAATAAATAAAATATGTTATGACAAGATGAATTAAGAAACAACTGATTTATGTTTATTAAATTATTTCCGTAGGCCTAGGAGAAACGTAATAATATTGTTGGTTTGGCGTTTTGTACGAAGTAAATATTACATTATTTTTACGAATGATTGAAAAAAAGTCAATTAAATTTAATAAATAATTGGTAATTTTTAATTGACTACGAGTAATATTAATTATTGTATATATAATATATATTATATATATATAGATGGGTATAACTACTAAAAATGGATATAAGTTAAAAATATGGCATGCCCACGCCAAAATTACTGAAAAAATTGTCATGAATCTTGACATCTTACATAATGTGCAAATCTTTTGAATTTCCATAATAATTATAAGTGCGTTTTAATTTCGTTTTTTTTTTCACATGTAACTTGATTACATTTTAATTTTGTATTATATTTTTGGCTATCAATTTCGAACTATTTTCCTTTATGTCTTTAAATATAGCTCTGTTGCTCACTTATTTGCTAACAGAATTTCAACCATACTGCAGTATTTTATATGTTATTCGTGTTCGTAATATATATATATTATAATATATATATATATGTACATACATACACACGCACATATATAACCGTAGATAATATATATAATATAACGATATTATCAACTTTAAAATCAGTCAAAATGAAAAAAAAAACAAGATAGAAAGAAAGAAAGAAAGAAAATAAAGGAACAAAAACATTGTTATTATAGTGGGCCTCTTCGTTTGTTCTGTATGGCCATCGATGTATTATCGATGGTAATCGGCTATTTACTGATGGCGGACGGTGAAAACACGCTGCTGGTGGATGCTACCGATGCCGACCGATGCGAGTGTACGTTTTGCCATTTATTGTCACGCCTGTGCCACACTCTGGTCTCTTCGTACTGGTGCGATCTAGGAACTCCTTGTCTATAATGGTAAAACACGAAAACAGTTTTGCGTCACGTCTATGATCTGTGTGTAGATGTGTAGCCGGGGGGGGGGGGCTAAGCTGGCTAAGCTGACTTGGACTAACTAGATTATTTTTTATTGCAATAATATCGGTGACTTAGTTAATAACATTTTCGTATATCGAGTTATAGAGTAATAATAGTGACTTATCATTATTTTTACAATTAATTTAAATCTATACGGGTAATTAGAATCAAGAGTCCTGAACTTAAAACTTAATTTTTTCTGCCACTCGAAGTATCATTAGATTAGGCAAATATATTTTTAAGTGATCTAATTTATGGAATTATCTAAAATCTAATCAATTATTGTTTAAAGTGTAGATAACACTTAAAATCATACACAATCGGGTAATGAATAAAAACATCGAAATGAGGATCTATACACGATTTCACAGTCAACCAGTTGAGAGATTATTCAAGTAAAACATCCAGGGTAGGAGGCGAGTTCTAAATATTTTTATGACATGGCTTAATTTTTTACCATTTAATCAGTAGCTTAAAACCTTATTATGCATGAATAATGTGAAGACTAGATCAATGTTGTTCTTAAACACGTATATGTACCTATATTGCCTATACATTACGCCGTGTAACACAACTGTCCGAGTAAACATTGAGCTCACTATGAATGTTTCAGGGTCAGTGGTGTACCCAGCATTTTTCAATGTAGATTGGAGGAGGGAAGGGGTTAAACTGAGTAAATCAGAATTTGATATCCGTTACCTTATAATAGGTCGTTATTACTTTATCCCGTAACCGTTATAACCTCTACAAATAATTGATAATAATACACAAATGTTTCTTCAAAATTATTTTCAGAGATATCATGGTTTGTACTCAGATTGTGAGATTTGTACCATAACATGGACGGTGGGGGGGGGGGCTGAAGCCTCCTCCACCCTCCCGGGTACGCGCCAGTGGTTAAGGTAGTAATGTATGTAATGTGTATGTATTATTAGTTATTAGTTATTACTAACGATGTAAAGTTACAGAAATCGGTCAACATTTTTTCAAGATTACATCATAATATACGGGATTTGTTTTAGCTCTCTAGGATTATCTTATAAATTATAACAAAATAGCTGATATTGATGTTGTTAAAAAAAGGCTTGTCATAATATGTATAATTTAAAATGTTTTAAACTTTATACAAAATGATACTCCCCCACCCACAAAAAAAAAAAAAAAATACGGTGGGAAATGATTTAAAATTTAATTGCCATTTTAGAATTTCCTTAGTTGGAACCGAGAAGTATGTCGATATTAAATAGATAACTTACTTGTCGATGTATTGTACGAGTATAATGTATGCAATGCAAGCTGCATCGTCACCAAGTAAATGCACAGTAGGGTTCAACACTGTCGTATTAATGCCTCGATTCTTACCTAAAACTGTCAAAACGGATTCTATACACAACCTAGTGAACTGTGAGTTTGTGAAAAATATTAATTTAAATAAAAAAAACTAAAATACAAAAAGACATAATTATACCATGGTCGAAGTAAAATTTATGAAATTCCATGCCTTCCAATAGGTTTCCGAGCGCTTCTGGTTCAAATGCTGTCATGTGCGGATCGCAAATTTTCCTAAAAAATAAAACAAACAATAAACGTGTACTAAATTGCACAAAGAAGTCATCTAATAAAAAAAAAATAATCATAGCATAATCAATAATTTGTTCATGTTTTTATTGGATAATATTACTACCACAATATTATTTCTAAGTTAATTTTGATTTTTGATAGTCCGGTGCGCATTATATACATTATACTACATAAAATCAACTAAGTTATTAAAGTTCGGGGTGCCGCCACTGGGTGACTTCTCCCTCCCGCTAATCATCCCCATCCCATTTACTTATTGTAGTACATGTAATTATAGATTGTAAATAACATTTTTTTTTTTCAATAAAAAAAAAAAAAAAAAGTTATTAAAGTTATAACTTAATGTGTATGATAACTATTAAGACGTATACCTAGCGTTATTTTCATCTTTTATTTTCTTCAGTCTTTCTGTCTTTTTGTTGTTAAGATTATCTTAACTATCTATTATTATTACTACTCCAATTTCACCAATAAGAGTGGTGAGTTGGGCCATTATACTCGTTATTCGTGTAATGTAATTTCTACTTTCAAATGGCCAACAAATTATTATTATTATTATATAGGTACTGTGTTAATATTTATATCTGTGCCTGGAATGCTTTAACATATTAATTGATTATCAAATTTCCAATGGAAAATAAATATTTAATTTAGTTTTATAAATAAATTAAAATTGATAGGATCAAAATTTTTTATATTAGGTTTTTGAAAATGTGATAAAATCAACAGATAATCTTTATTTTTCTAAAGCTTAAAGTACCAACCGATAAATAGGACTATTTTTGGAACATGACTTTATAACGTTTACGTTTGATGTCTAAATCACAATTTTCCTGGTAATTGAAAAACAGAATTATAATCTTAAATAAAATGATTCATACATTTACGCATATACAAAGAACATGAAATATTTATTATTTTAATATTAGTATATAATATTTTATAGTTATTATACGTACGTATATCCTTCGAAATCAGCATTGTTGATCGATTCAATAAGTTGTTCGGTGATTTTAACGATTTCTTGTTTGCGTGCTGAAATAAGACCGTTGGGGATTATAACCTGTTATGATTACGTATAACATACACTGTATAATTTATAGGTAGGTTAATGTCTACTCTCGGTAAATCCGACAGCGGTATTATTTTATTATTTATTTTTTTACATTTTTAAAAAATATTTTAACATAAATGTGTTAAAAATATTATATTTAATATCATTTTAATGTATATAGATTATAGGTATATTATACAAAAGCTTTAAACGCAATACGAGTGGAATAATAAAAAAAAGTAAGTAAAATAATCATAATATATACAGGTATTGTAAAAAAAAAAATATAAATAGGAACTCTAATAATCAAAACGGGTTTTCAACAAAACGTATAATAAGTATATAATAATATGTACATTGTAATATTACCGTGTGGGAAAATGTGATATTGAAAATTGAATATAAAATACTATCTAGATTTGTATTTGTAGTTGTTTGAACTCACCTGAACCGCAAGAGTTAGTCGAGTGCTGCGAGAATGTCTTGTTGGGACAGACAATCCTCACGTCTTAGCGAAAATGTGTGAAAATAAAACATAAAAAGAAAAAAGAAATGCAAAAAACGAAAACCGATATGGATGAGAAACAAAGAACAAAGAAAAAACAACAGGAAAACACGCACTATAATATTATATCATTATACCAATGCGTGTTTCATCCTATATATAATATATGTAATATGTATATACTTATAATTTATATATATGAATATACTTATATATATATATATGAATATACTTATATATATATATATGAATATACTTATATATATATATATATAAATTATAAATAATTGTAAAATATTAATACTTCGGTCTATGTTTCTATATCCAGGATTTCGGTCGTTTTCCGTGTATATGCATTGTTTTATCGGGTTGTCTATTGCAGCATAGGTCGAGTGGTATATTAGGATGATACTTATAGTATAATATACTGAGGAAAATTATTGATTATTATAAACTATAGTTAGGGCTGCAATTTAAATGCACTTTGGAATTTTTTCTATAGCGTTAGGTACGGTGCCTGGTTTTGGTATGCAAATCTAATTCATGTCTTGTTGAATGGATATCCAAAGTTTGATTTTGCATATTTCTTTTGGTTTTTTTTCATTTATCAGAATATTTTTTTATGATTTTCGGGGCATATTATACGTAAGTTGAAATTGAAAAAAAAAAATGTTATTTTGAGATTTTAACGGAGTTTGATATATTATTTACCAACTGTCAACAGCATAAACCAATACAATATTGAACTAATTTAACATTTGAGATTCCATACAAATAATATAATTAATAGGAACAATTAATTGAAAAAAATCATAATCGATAGTGGCATAATCTAACCTTTCCTGGGTATCTTATAATTTCATGACTACTATACAAAAATAAACGAAATTCAGAATCACCAAATCGATATTTCACAAATTATCACTAAATAATTAAAATTATACATTTTTTTGTGAATTGCATGTTAAACTTAAACGTTTTTGCACACATAATATTGTTGTTACAGTAACAGTATTTTAGTGAATTTTATATGTAGATAATTTTAAATTGCTTAGACTTTATTGCATCTTCTAAGTTTTTCCAGGGCATCAAATTTCCAGCCCTAATTATAATATACACTCTACTTGCCTACCTACTACTTCGAATCGAATGGCAACGGTGAATTGGATAAATAAACTACTAATTGATAATAATTACCAATAAAAACTACTTATTTACAGGTTGCGTTGATATGGAAAATATACTTATTATGTCGTTAGTTGTTACGTGCGAATGGTTGTAGGACGAACGTTAAGCGTATACGCGGATGAAATTATATATTGCATACATACGCGTATAAACATATTAAGTCGCTATCATTTTCTCAATCGTTTTTGGTTATTCACTTTTAAATTTTAACTATCTATATCATTCATAAGCACTTCAAGTTCATTGTTCATACATTAAACAATAATAGAAAATTCAATAATACGGAATGAGAGTTCATGAGAGTTAAGAAGAATTATTTCACCAAAAACAAATTATACACAAGGTAAACAGTTGAAAATATTTATACGATTAGAACGAGAAATCACATTAACATGAACCAAATGACACAAGCGCATAATATAGTCCCTATAAGTTACAACGAGTATTAATGACTCATGAACAAGCATAAATATAGTGTTATAAGCCTTTTACCTACCTAGCTATACGTAAAACTATGGGAAAACTGTGAAAATGGACCGAGAAAATGCATATCGTGTTATACGTAGCAAAACAATAATCACATAGCGCATAGTATAGGCAAATATAATGTACGCATTATAATATTATAGGCAATATTCTATTCTATTTTACATATCATCATGGTACCTATATATTATTATTATATTCATGTACAAACGGTTTTTTTTCTTCGTATACTTACAAGCGTCCTCCGAAACGAACGATTCCATCGAGTTACCGGGTTCCAGACGTTCTACGGCGGGTTCGTCGGGACAGTTACTGCAAAAGCACAACACCATACTACGGGGGGAGGGGAATGGTGATGGGTGATGGTTGGACGGGATGTGTGAGTGTGGGGCTACGCGACGCGGCTATACGACTATTTCAGTATTACTATGGTATTATGATAAGCTGCTTGTATTATATGGTTGTGTGTACACGTAGGAGATGCATAATATTATTATTATATTATATAATATACACGGGAGGCTAGGATGTGTTTGTCGAATGTCGCACAAAATTATATAAAACCATGATTATTAAATGGCATAGACAAATTACGAGTGTATTTTAAGCACGCAACTCACCGGGGACGCGGTCACAAACGACGTATCAATAACCGCAGCAGATGCAGCAGCAGAAGACGGCGACCGGAGCGTATAATATTTAAGTAGGTATATGTGATGTGTATTATGGGTACTTTACTCGAGAATGGAATAGAACACACTACAGCATACGGCGATAATAATATTACGATTGTTCGCGGTAAATGATACATCTGGGAAAACACTTATACGACGCCGACGAAATTAATATGATATCTCGATTTTTAGGCGCGTAGCCAATTCCATAATAAATATTATAATATAATGTGATGACGACACCGTGGAATGCACACCACGGACGACGGTAATGAGCAACAAAAAAAAAAATAACGCGATTAATAATATATTTTATGAACAACCTATGACATAATATATGGGGTACATAGGATAGATTTTATTTTATATCATTATATGCGTAATAATATTGTAAAATATTTAACAGTATAATATTATAATAGCTAAATAGCGAGTGTGGTGTGTGGTGTGTGTGTTTAAAATTAAAACAACTGTGCAAACGTTTTTAGTTTCGTTATTTAACACGTGTTTTTAGCGCCGAATTGCCGCTGTTGCTGTCCGACTTATAAAAAAATGACACGTCTTTCCTTCCTATACATGCCCAATATACTTATATGACATAAATTTTAATATTTATAAACTATGTTAGTACTTTAAGTACTGGAGTAGTGCATTGAAACGCCACTCTCGGAACTTTTGAGAGGACCACGTTCGTGTACGGTTGTGTGTTATCAGTGCGCAGGGTTGTATATTAGTAATAATTTTGACTCTTCCACCCCCGCTCGCCATACATACACACTGTCATTCCATTTGATTGGTCGTTTGTGTTCACGCGTGTCAATCCATTATATATTATTATACCTTTGTAAATATACATTATATTTATCTTCATATTATCGTTTGCAGTTTTTTTTTTTAAAGTATGAACATAGAAAACGATATAGAATATATACCAAGCGCAGAAAACAACAATAAGCCTAACGACATAAAAATGACTATATAACTGCAGGTACGACCTTTACGTACGGGTCAAAGTTCAAAATGCCTATATGTACATGATTTGTGGACTTTTGTGGGATTTTCGTAGATTCTTCGCGAATTCATATACACGTTCAATGAATGGTATTAAAAAATATTATATAGAAGAATATAACTAATTATAAATTTAATTATTAGTCCGATAAATATTTTAGAATAATATTATGTAGGTACTAGGTAGGTATACTATTTTGATTATGAGATTCTTAACTATTGGGTAGTTAGGTATACAAATGTTTAAAAATATCAGGAAATTAAAAGATATTATACTATCTCATACAATGTATGTACATAGTACATTTTTTAATACTGTATAGTAGTACCTACCTACATAATATAACATGTTAGTTTTTGAGCATACATATACTATATTCCAAAATATGTACACCAATGGTAATTAACTATATAGTCAAATTAGGTTTACTTCATACACTAATACGTATATAACGCACAGTTTGTAAGTATTTATTAAATAAAAAAATTACACTAATCAATATACGTTAAGACGTTTAAAGACATTTGAACCAAAAATCCTTTAACACACCACTCGCAGTGCAATGCAGAGAACATTTAAGTATTCAGAACCTAACCTCAAATCTAGAGCAGTATACCCTAAACCGGTTAGACCATTTATATTATGTTATGGGTACTGGTTACTGGGTAGGTTATTCATTTTCCTGGTAGGCACATAATCCTAAAAGTCCTTTGGCGGAAACAAAAATGGTTTCTATGCTCACACGTTGTACGGATGTACAGGAAACCATGCTATTTGACCAATGTTAATTTAAGGAAACATGATTGGCACATGGTACCTGCCGATCCACGAAAATTCGCAGCAGATCTCGACGTAATATTATTACATTAAAATAAGGTTACTATGACAAACATATATATTACTTGTATATTATATTAAATGCATGTAAACGGCACACGGTTTGTTACTTGTTAGTTTGTTATAAAACGCAACCAGAAAAGAAACCACAACCAGAAAAGGAACCACGCGTGTATTTAAACGAGACATCAGACTTTTTTCTAACCTTGAGCCATGACATTTTGGGGGTTGGTGGTGACGACTATAGACAGTTTATTGTTTGTCTTGGATCCGAAAGATGTGGACGAGGAGCTCTTGAAGCAGCCCAGCACGCTACCAACGGAAGAGGACGACAATGCCGGTGAAGGTGGCGGAGTACCGACGTTCCCTAAACAATTGCACTCTATAATATATAATATTATATGTGGGTTAGCCGGGAGTAAGGGACTTCAACGTGGTGGCGGAAGCGATTCATGGTTCTGGAAGAGTGGACGCGAAAGACACATATACATACAAAGTAAAATGTATAGATTTAATAAAATTATTTTTTCTTAAGGAAAAATCTTATGCAGTTAAAATTTTTGGTTGTGAAAAACCACCTAAAGTGCCAAAAATTCATATTGCCCAAGTGTCCCAGATTCCATCACTTCTTCACCTTATTATAAGCATTATACATGTATCAGACTCCAAACTCCGCAACGATTACAACATTGAAACGATAGGTAGGTAAGTAATAAACATTATAAATAATTGCACTCTAAATTACGCGGATCCAAACGAATCCAATGAGTAATGTCACAAAAACACTTCTCTAACTCATTTCAGAGAACCTTCACCACCCCATCACTTCCGCCAACTTCGAGATCTGTAGCTTAAATAAATACAGAAACATGTTGGGTTCTATCTCATTAGACGGTCTCCCTTATTATATTGTGAATCTAACTATGAATATTAAATATACGAGTATGACAGTTAACCAGCTTCAACAATTCACTAGGTAGGTATATAACTGTGCCTATATAATAAGCATAGATTGTAAATGTTCATCAGATAAAAATTATAAAAATGTAAAATAACAATGTTTTGACAAACAAGACGTATATAGATTACATTTTTTTTTATAAATATATATTGATGAACGATAAAACAATGCATACACAATAAAGTAAACAGTTAAAATTATTAAATGATCTTATTATATAACGGTATTAGCAAACAATAGTATAATACATATATTATGGTATGTTTTTATAAAGCTAGATTTATATAATCTATGTAATAAATATATTATATTATGATATATGTATATAATATATGCGTTATATATGTGCAGTATATCCCAAAATTCTTATAATACCAAGGGATATCCGAGGAAAATCAATAAATTTAATGTAGTTTTTTCAAGAATGATCTATACAAAAAGAACAAAATTTAAGGACAATTTAAAATTTTTTGGAAGAAAAATCATTTTTCTCGTAATTGACTCTTTGAAACTTTCAAAATAACCATTTTAATAATATTTTAAAAAAAATTATTAAAAATAAAGGTTATTTAATAAAAATCATTAAACATTTTTTCCAATTCGTCTAGAAACTTGAGCACAATTTAAAATTAATAACGCATTTGATTTTTGAAAAATAGTACATTATAAATTGTAATAAATTAATTTTAAAATAATTATTTTTTATACATTTTTATGAAGCTGTAGTTTAATAATTTTGAACAAATCTAAACAAGCTGTATTTTTCTCAATTTTTATTCAATTCAAATTTCAATACATTTTTGTAAACAGTTGACAAAATAGCTAATTTTAAAAATGTTCTCAAAGTTAATATTTTCAAGAAAAATAATTTTTTGAAATTGGCTAAAAAATCTAAATTGTCATTAAATTGGAATTTTCTATATAATATATTGATCTAGAAGAAATTGTATTCAAAGAAGTTGATTAGTCACCGAGATCTCTCAGGCGTTTCGGAACTTATGGGATATACTATATATATATCCATATATAAATCGACGTGAAAGCGGAAAATATCAACTATATAGATATAAAAATAGGTTAGTACGTTAATTCCGTATTAAATAATAATACTTCTGTACATAATATAAGTATATAGCTGATCACTATACAATGTAGTATAATATCATATTCTCAGCACGAAAAAATAATCTCGACTATTCTTTAACTCGAAAAATAAGAACAAAAATTTCACGTTTCCGCGTTCATATTGTTTTTGTGAATAAAATATTATATAAAGGTTGGTTTTATCATTGTTGATATTTACCTTCCGCATCTTTGGCAATTACTGTAGAGCTCCGGTCCACAGTCCCTTTTTTGTCCTCTAAGAGAAAAACACACTTTTCACATTGGAGTCGTGACAAATTGGTAACACGGTCGTATACGATCTTTTTGTTCGTTATTTGTTGTACGTTTGTTTGTTAGTGTTTTTTTTTTTATGTTAGGATAGTGAAATGTGTTTACAGAACGGGGTTTCAAACACATCACGGGGGTAATATTCCCTACGCATGCATAATATACACAAAACAAGAACAAAAAAAAAAAAAAAAATAGTAAATAAAAACCAACAAAAAACCTCCTACACCGGGTTTCTAAATGTCATATTATATTATTATTTGTATATTATTTTATCTAATGATATTATTGTATAGTGTATTGGTGTGTGTTTTTTATAAGAGAATATTACTATTCCTATATATTAATTGATATACCGAACGTCGGCGGTCCGTTGTTATAAGATCCGTTTGAGATTATTTTCGAGCGACTGATGATAACAATAATGATAATAATAACAATAATAATAATAATATAATATGTGTATAATACGCGACGTCTTTGCTATTATTTTAACGGGTGTTCCTAAGAGTGTAAGCGTCACACTGCTCTTATTTACACAAGCAAGCAGCTCAAGTTTATGATAATATATATATATATTAAATATTTATTCACAGGGATGATTTTTGCAGGTGGACTGATAATTATTAATTTTTTAATTACAAAGTATTGTATAGATATTCACGTTACTCAGTGCGTTCGTCGTGCGTAAGAAGATGTATTTTTTTTTCAGATATTTTATGCACGAATAATAATAATATATATACATACTTACATAATATTAATATAAATGTGTATTATATAGTCAAACATAATTTTTTGTACAAATATGTATAATATATTATATTAGTTGGTACTTGGTAGTGCAAAGTTTTGAATAAAATAATAAAATAGCGATTAAATGCAATTATTATACCGTTTAAATAGTCAACATTAGAATATTAATTATTATTATTTAAGACGATGTAAGTAGGTATACATTATTGTATATTAGTTTAAATTGGCTTATTTAGATTTCCATAAGTATTTTCAACATTATGTTTGTTTATTAAATGTGAACACATGCAAATTATTTAAAATTTTAATATTATAAATTAAAAACACGAATAATTTAAACACATAGTGGGTAATATTATACCTAAATTATGGTAATTTTAAAAACTCCGGAATGTGTAAAATCTTATAACGGTTTCATCATATAGTATATATAATTTTTATTTATTTTCACTTACCTCTGACATCATCATCTTCCAATGTTGTATTGCTTTCAGTTGATTCTTTCACTTGAGAACCTTCTCCTTTTTTGTTGGTTGCAATACTGCGACCTGACAACCAATATAAATGATAAGTACCATGGTATATATTATATCATTTATTTATAAAATATTAATTCAAACACCAATTAGGCAGTTATTAAAACATCTAATAGAATAAAAACGATTCTCTAAAACAATATAATATAATAATATATTCATATTATAGGACATTATCAAGTTGAAAACCATTTTGTATTTTTTTTTTAATTTATACAATATAAAATTGAACGATTAAAACAGAAATGAGTATGTATCAAATGCATCTATGATCAAATGAAAATATTATTAATATTAATCAAATTAAAAATAATTAGACGAATGTCACCTGAAAATTAAGATTAAACTATTAAATTGAATCATAATTTAATTTTAATCGAAATGTATAAATTGAAAATCGATATTGCAATATATTACATTAAACCTAGAAAAAGTTAAATAGCTTATATTGTACGTAATTATTGATAATGGCGTATATTCCCAAGACTTGATAATAAAAGTTATTACGGTTTTTGCAGTTTGTTTGGTGACTGCCAACTAATGAGTAAAGATAATTAATTAAATCTTAAATAATAGATATAATCATTAAATTAATCGTTTATACTACAGAAAGTTTAATAATATGTAGTTTATTATATACAGAGTGATTCACCTCCATTTTTACTTAAATAATACATTTCAAATTCTCATTTTTAAACATTTTAATTATGCTTAAGAACATATTTTCGAATGCTACTACTTAAGGTATGGCGATACAAACTTTTTTTTTCAAATAGGAACCTCCTTCCCCTTATTACTGTAAATTAACTATTTAATTAATCACTTTGATAAACGAAATTCAAAATTCGAACGAAAGTTTCTCAATTATTATTAAAACGTTTAAAATGTTTACTAAGGATAATAGTCCTTAAATGGTTTTACAAAAATATATCACGGGTGTAACATTAGAACTCGAATCTAATATACTTAGAACATTTAAAAAAAGGTGGGTAAGTGGATGTCGCTCTGCTGTACAGTAGGTTACAAGTGGGTCACTATATAATGGATGGTATTAAATTTGAATTCAATGATACAATATCATTGTATAAGAAAAACGATTCTGAGCGAAGACGGTATGTCAGTCTAGGTTTAAGACATTATATATATAAATATATATATGGTATTAAATTATATGGAATTTATGAATAAATTCCTTAAAATATTCACATAGTCTCATCTTGAGAATACTTCTTATTCCTTATAGTATGGTAGATTGTATGGATAGGCCATAATATTTTGATTTTTCAGTTTCATATATCCCCGAATAATATTTTTAAATTGCAACAAAAACAAAGATCGTTAATATTGATTTTAATATGTAAATTCGTCCAAATTTGAATTTAAAATGTCTGTAAAAAATAACTGTGTTCATATATTTTTTAGATTTTTTGGTTACAGTATGAACTATTTATGAGAACCTTTGTGTTGAATTTGCAATCCTTAGCTATAAAAACTGAACATTTTATAATTTATTAATTACAATAATTGATAATTTTCGAGATTTTGATAAATTTTGTCAAAATTCGATGTTAAAATGCTTATAAAAAAAAATTGTGCCTATGTATTTTTAATATTTTTCAACTGATATTGTAACAATATATCAGGAGCCTTGTATTAAATTTTTACACTTTTTGGCCCAACAGATAAAACTTTATTGATATTTATAGAAAAAAAAAACTAAAAAAATTGAAAACTGAAAATGTCCGTAAACGGCTCAAAAAGAGTCAAAATATTTTCAAAATTGTATGGTGTATAGGAAATGCTAATATAAACATTCAGTGAAATTTTCATGTATCTACAGTAATTCGTTTTTTAATTACAACAAAAAAAGTAAATTGCCACATGAGAAATCGAGTGAATATCCAATGTTGTAAAAATTTGAATTTCAAACGCTCATAAAAATTTAATTTGACTTTCCGATAGAGATTTTTTTATTGATAAAGGTAGACAATCTTATGAGTAATCTTGTATTAGATTTTCAAATCTTAAATTTAAAAAGAAAAATTTTTACGAATTCTTAACTCAAAATAATTTGCTAATTTTCGTGATTTTTCCATATTTTGTCAATTTTTGAACTTTAAATGCTTATAAAAAAAAATTGTGACTAAGGATTTTTAATATTTTTCATCTGCCTTTGAAACAATATATTAGGAGCCTTCTATTAAATTTTCAAGCTTTCGCAACCAACAAATAAAATTTTATTGATATTTCAAGAAAAAAAACTAAAAAAAAAACGAAAAATTAAAATGTCCCTAAACTGTTCAAAATAAATCAAAATATTTTGAAAATGTTATCGTGTATAGAAGATGCAAATATAAACAACCAGTGAAAATTTCATGTATCTACGGTCATTTGTTTTAAAGTTACACCAAAAACCAGAATCGATTTTTTGGAAAACCGATTTTGCGTAAAAATTCCCGTTTTTCCTTAATTTTTATGTTGTTTTTTCCCGGCGCTCTTGAAAACTACTGGGAAATTTAAATTTTTACCTCCCCAATGCACCAACGATATTCACTTTCCAATCGAACAAGATACTGAAGTCGAAAATCGAAGCATTATTTCGACTACTTATCGTGTACACAGACACAAAAATAAAAAAATAAAAAAATAAAAAAATAAAAAAATAAAAAAATAAAAAAAAAACACACATCATTGTAAAATCAATACATTCATCGTTTCACTCAGAATCTAAAATTATAAATATTAATTATTATAAGTTGAATTCACCATAGACATAGAGTCCGCATAGTCCCCATATCTAACCAACCCATTACCGTGGAACTATTACTCTTAGTACTTACACAAAGTTATATAACTCAAAAACTACTCTCTCAAATGTTGACTCTGGTCTCTGACACATCAACATTTTCAGAAAAATTATCCTTTGAATAATTACCAGGAAAAAAAGGGGCGTTTTTATTTGAAAATCTCGACAGGACATATGTGATAATATCCATAAATCTCTAGAATTTTAAAATACGGTGCTTAAGTATATTTTAAAATCAGATTTTAGATATCTATCTATTATGGAAATAAATGGGATGAACATGCTTGGAGAATCACTTTGTATATAATTTATTTTATTTTATTGTATATCATAATATAGTTTAAATTAATTTGATATTTATTATTCTGGTTTTCAACTCCGTATTTAGAGTAAAGGTAGATACACTAATCAATTAAATTTTAAAGAATTCAAAATATTCAAAATACAATTTATTCTAATAGATGTTAGAAAAATTATTATTGTTATGAAACATAAACATTTAAATAAGTAAATTCAAAATTGCAAACAATTGTTTACGAGCATAATTATATATCTTACAAAACTTGCTAAAATCATTATAAACGTGAAGTGCAAACATTATTTAATTTAATATAAAAAAAATTTACTATAAATTAATAATAAGGTATTAATTTTAAAATATTCAAATTATATAGTGGAACATACAAAACAATTTTTGTTACAAATTGAGAACTAATAATTTATTTGTAAAATTATGTTAACTAATATACCTAGTTGGTTTTATCAAACCTCATATTATAAGTATTAAAGTAATTATTGATTTGAATTGTTTTATACTTTATTTAATTTAATTACATTTTTATCTATGATGTTTAAGTTATAAATATGATAATATCACAACTCTAATCAAAATTATCAAAGTTATTAATATTCCAACAAAATAATAATATTCAATAGAAAAAATAATTCAACGTGCATAATTTTATTCACGAATAAACATTCCATAATAATATACCAAATCCTTAATAATATGCTAAAATTGGATTAATATGAAGTACAGTTCGTGCTTTTATAAAACATAAGCTTCATATTTATATAATTGTATTAAACATGCGTTATGGAAAAGCATAACAAAAATAGTTAGTGGAATAGCTAAAAAACTGTTTCCCATTTTCAACAACAACCCTGCAAAGTGTGTTAGAATTAAATTAAAGAAATATAAAAATATACAACGTCTATAGTTTTATCTAGAGTAATAAATAAAATTAAAGCGAATGCCCAAAAATGACTTTTAATGCCAAAACAATGACGTCCACAAAAATGTTAATGTAAATTGGAACAAAAATATAAAAAATATTTGTTATAGATACAGTCTTACCACTTCCTGTTCCGGAAAATTTTATGGTAGATTTTGAAGAAGGTATAGAAGTGTGGTGCGTTTAGAGAATATTCGCGAAGAGTACAGGGAAGAGTGAACGAAAACAAATAAAATCACAAAAACAAAACAAATGATGAAAGGTAAAAATAATTTACATGTATTGTGATCAGACTGATGAACATAAAAATGTGCTCAACATCAATTATTTAATGCTCAACAGATTTATTTTTTTTTATATTCATCAAATCGTAGGTAATTATAACACTGTAGGTAGGTATGCTTATTATTTGTATCGATATCAATAGTAAGCGCCTCGTATAGAACCTCAGCCTTTTAGTTTAAAAGTTATTAAAATAATTAAATCAACAATTTTATCAGATACACATAAATTGTAATAGGTAACTACCTACTAAATATTGGTGTGACCCCATCCACTCTCGTCTTACTATAATCGTTCCATATATCGTTTTTCTGTTGATTATGAAAACATGCATCATATTACGTTAATATAATGAATGTAATTATGGGTAATTTTAGTTGTTTGAAAATTATTTTAATTTTTATTTAGGTACATTCCAGATTGCTGATCAAAATAATAAAATATTTGGTTCGGAGTGGATAACATTATGTATTATTTTTCTTTTGGCTTTTCCACACTAATTATTGTTCACTTGTCAGTTGTCAGTGTTTCTGTGTTTGATATGTTACCTATATATTGTTTATGACATGAGTTTATAAAACTCTCATAAATATCAAAACATCATGTTAGGAAACAATCGCATGTCAAACATCGTCTCTGTTTCAAGGTATATTATGCAAGTTCCATCATAAACAGGGAATTGTACGTCTGCAGTGCATTAATACATCATATTATATCAGATTAAACAACTAACAATACCTAGTAAACTAATATTCGAATATAATTCATCGGTGTCTTATTTGAATGCGCTAGGAAAATGTTGTGGGTAGGAACATACAATATAGTGCCTACCAATAAGTACCGCATGAAACTTGTGGGAGGAAATAGATCATTTTAGTAACAATAATTATTGTTGTTTTTAGTTTTATAACAAAATTAAAATATGTAATATGAAAAAATTAAAAAAATCCCAAACCCTTATCAATATCTCACCTCTTAAGTATAGGTATTAAATAGAATATAACTAAAACTTTATGGGTCTATCAACCAACATAAACAACACACGTTTGTGTGTAAGTACCTACTCTGGATTAACCCGTGTAATTATAATATTATTTTTGTAAATTATTTATAATACAAACTAGTATTGAATATTTAAAATACATTTATAAAATTAATAATTGGGAACTTTTTTTTTTTTTTGAAACAAACCAAATAAATATCATGTGTGGATAAAAATACGTTTGTATATACAATGACAAAATACATTAAATACTAGGTACTGAAGAATACCGAATTCATACTCGTGTTATATTATATTATTATACAGGGGTGTATTTGAAAAGGTCCCATTGGGGTTTAAACCTCTTGGTTTGATTTGTATGAAAGCATTAAACATTTGGTAAATCATGTTTATTATAACAATTATATAATATTATTAATAAAATACTTCACTCCCACTTCGTACTAAATAATTATTTGAATAAGACGTTTTCGTCAATATTATAATAATGAAATTAAAATGTGTGAAAACTTTACAAAGCATATTGATATTGTCATATGACATATACAATAGTTGTAAACTTGTATAATATATAACTTACAACTGAAAATGCAAATTAAAGGAAATAAATTAAAATCTGGTGAATATATGGGTACGCATAATGTAATTAGGTAAGTACCTATGTTGAATTTATTTTAAAATCATCGTTACTTTTAATAGCATTAGTATAAATGCATATGTTATCGTTATGGCATGTAGATAGAATATATATTACGCATAAAAGTAATAGCTGTTAGTTTATTTGTATATAATATGTTTTTATGTGTTACAATTTGAATAATTTAAAATAGTTAATTCTATTTGTATGAAATTATAGTTAAGTGAATAGTGAGAACTGTGTGATTCTGCGTTTATATCTGATGAGTGATGAATGATGGCACAATAAAAACTATTAAATAAGTGAAGTTTATATTTGACTTTATGGTAATAAGAATAATATCTATTTCAGTTGAAAACAATGGAAGGTATGATTATAACATAAACTATAGATTATGTTAAAATAAATATTTTATACTTTTAATATTTAATTTGTATGTACTAATTAGCGTTGTATAAGTACGAAACTTATTTTAATAATTTTTATATCAGGAGTGTTGTATGTATATTCTTAATCATAAAACCTACATCATGCAGCTACAATGGGATGTAAGGTAAGGGATACAATGTGTAGCTTCAATGTTTCAGACAAATTCATACAAATACATGAGGGTTTGTTTTTATGATGTCCACAAAATATGTTCAATGTAGCACTACCTATATGAATACATAGCATATACTAGGGGTAATGGATGAAATAAAAGTATGTATAATATAATATAATTATCATATTGGTGCATTCGTGTACCAATAGTATTATTGTAAATACATTATATAGGTATACGAACCTGTTAAATCTGTAGGATAGAAAAGATAAATAAACAAATAGTGTAGATAGGTAGATAGGATTGTTAACCGTAAAAATCCCGTTTGGCTACTTTCGCATAAACATCAAACAAAACCCTAAAAAAAAAAACTTCATTTCTCTGCCATTCGTAGGGGTAGTAATAGGACCAATAAATTAGCTTATATACAGTGCTGTACCCATTCGTATAAACACCTAAATTGTGTTTCAAACCAACTTTTTATGTACACATATATATTTAGTGTATCTAATTAAAAAACAATTCTAAAAATTACAAAAAAAAACCACGTCGTCACCTATTTTCATTCACACGTAATTGGTCTGAGGTTCCTGAGGCACTTACCGTGTACATCATACTTACTGGAGAAGTTCCTTGTAGCCAACATTGTCGTCAAAATGGCACCCTGCAAACACGTAAGAATATAGTTTGATTCGGTTCGCACTCAAAATGAAAGCAATACAATTTAAAAATTTAAATTTACTTTTAATTTTCGTCTGGCGTTGAACTTCTTCAAGCAGTCGACCGTTTCCTGTCTGTGTACAGCCGAAGCAACTTTCTCACGATACTGAAACACAACGGGCCATCAGAATTACATTATGAATACTCAAGATGTTACGTTTGCATGCAAAAAGTTCATAAAAATCCAAAATGGAACGTATTTATATTTTATAAGTATGAATATAAGTTTATTGTACACGTGAGACACAAGGATAACGGTGGGGTGTTTTCAATAAATTTATTGTCCACGCAATATGCGAGTATTATAAACGACGACCGCGTGGTACCATTAGAAAATGTGCCTTTCTTAAAAGTTGATTATTGGAAGTTCGATACGATTATTAACATGGCATAAAACAATAACACGAATAAGTTTTGGAATAACAGGTATGTTAGGGAAATGAATAAACAAGAAAATGACCATAGTTTAGACTTTAGTTGAACTTATAACTATGGTTTTTCAAAGGAAACATGGGTTCAGATGCATGATATACGGCGGTATAGTGCGTGTACGTATATAACATTGTAATAAATTGTTAGTTTCAAAATAATTTTTTTTTGAAATATCAAACGCAACGTGGTAATGTGAAATTTAAAGCACTTATACAAGTTACAATAATTTCGGTCCATATTATTTGTTAATAAAAATATGTAAGTAAAGGTTTTTTAATTTTTTACATCACTGGAAATATAAATGTAATATAATCGACGGTCAACCGAATAAATAAGGTTTCAGGATGGGATAAAATTACTCACGATTCGTTTTCCTTCTGTACCTCAATAGGTTTATTCTTGGTTTGATTACCTCCTTTGGGTACATGATCATTTATTTATAAAAATCTATGAAAATAAAAACCTTAAAAGTGAATAAACTTACGCAAATCCATGGGTGTTTGAGTGCAGCATCTGCTGTGACCCGTTTAGCGGGGTTCACAGTTAGCATTTGATTAATTAAATTTTTTGCATCTGGTGTAACTGTATCCCACTCAGGCGACGGATACTAAGAAATCATACAAAAACAAATTATATTTTCAAACGAGAAAACCTAATTATATAGAAATTATCAACATTTATTTGTACGACTTTAAAATTTCAAAATAATTATGTATAGCTAATAGCCATATAGATAACAAAAATAATGTTATATATTACATTTTTATAAACGTAGAAGTTAATTTTTATCATTGCACAATAATTCTTCATTAAAATGATAAAATATGGTTTAATTTTTTTTTTTTAATTGTGAGTTTGAGAAACTATTAATTTGCACTTGTAGATTTGACTTGAAAAACTATACTGACATACTGTTAGGTATACAAATTATAGTTATAATTTTTTTCCGTGATAACTTATTTTTTTATTTTTAACTAGGTAAGTACTTGTGACTAGTTGTGAGTATTATGTTAGTATCATGTGAGTTATAAGAAAGATACAGTTAAATACCATTAAACACAGTTAAAGAACCACCAATTACCATTCATCATAAATAACAAACTTTTTTACATCTATAATTTAATATTTTTGACGAAATATGTATAGGTACATATACCTAAATATAGGTAGGTCATAGATGCCCTATTATTTTGTTATTTAATAATATTATTTTTTATAAAACAAAAATATTGGATGATAAATATTTCAAAGTATTGTTTAAAAGACAGTTGTAATTTTTATAATATTATTTTGAGTATTGTTGAGGTTACAATAATGTACTTACATCATAAGCGCCAGCTTTGATTTGGGCGTACAATCTATGTTGATCTTCATCCCAGAACGGTGGGTATCCAACCAACAATATGTAAAGTATTACACCTAATTAAAAAGTAAATATTAGAAAGTATTTTTATACGACTAAAATATAGTCGCATTAACTAACCGCAAGCCCATATGTCGACAGGTTTTCCATATGGTTCTTTCTTCAGTACTTCTGGTGACAGGTAGCCTGGAGTTCCGGCAAAACCTGAAAACGACGCTTACAATAAAACACCGTAAACGAAATAAAATAAATAATTCCACTTGCCAAACCACGCTTGTTGTTCGCCCTGAACCTCGATGGCCAATCCGAAATCGGCCAACTTGACCGCAGCGCCTTTGACTTTGCTTGCCAATAACAAGTTTTCCGGCTAGAAAACATACAAAATATATAATTTTCATAGCATTAACGACTGTTGTCAAACAATATTATAGAGGGATTGTGGTTTGGGATAGAATTATATACATTTTAATCTTGTTGTGGTATCTTATGTAGGTTAAATATTTATAGTGTTTAACGACATGTTGGCGGTTTTTGTTTATTATCAACCAGGAGGTGTGCCAGCAGCAATGATGGGCAAGTGATAAAATGTGTAATAAACAAACGTTAAAATGTAGGTGCCTCCGCCGTACGTACGGCATTATTAGGTGTATATTTTGAATATTACTATTTATTGCTAGTTGATAGAACTCCGAAAAGGAAGTAGTTATTATGTATTTATGTAAATGGCCATAATACGTTTGGTTAACATTAGGTAGGTACTGTTTTAGATTCTGATCAATGTGTAGGTTTAAGTTTAACAATATGTTTTAAAACTTAATGTAATAATACGTTTTTTTTAATAATCAGGAACACTAAAAAAAATTTCGGTAAAAAGTGAAAATATTTACGTAACACCAATTTTTACAAAATGTATTTGTTATAATTTCAAAGACATAATATTGTATAGTTTTAAGATACTTTGGCTTTTTATTTGTTATTTACAGACTTTCGAAGTGTTCTTAATTTTTTTTTATTTTTGTTGATAACAGTTTTTATATGCTCTTTCAAAACTTTTGAAAATTGAATACAATATTCCTCATGGATCCTTAAAAAAAGATGAGGAAAAGCCAATTCATTTTGTATGAGCGTTAGAAGTTTAAATTATAGCGAAATTGGATATTCACGCAAGTAAGATAATTATTTCTCTAACGATTTTTGTTATTTTGTTTTAAGCTACAACATATTGATTGAAGAAACTTCAAACATTACACTTAAATTATTATTTTCCGTATACAATGCAATTTTAAAAATATTAAGACTAATTTTATGCTATTTATAGGCATTTTTCTTTTTCAATAGTTTTAATCGGTTCTTAAAAATGTTGATGAAATTTTTTAGGCTCTGTCAAAAAGCTTGAAAATTAAATACAAGATTACAGATAATTTTCAGTTAGTAAAATTAAGTTTAGTAAATATTAATATATCAAAAATACATGGGCACAGTTTTTTGTTATAGACATGCGAGTTCAAATTCTTACTAACACGTATAATTAAACAAAAAACAAGGATTTTAGATATTTTGTTGTAATTCAAAAAATATTATTTTTGGGGTTTGCCGAAATAATCATAGATATGACTATATGAGTACCTTAGTCTATCTCAATCTGTGTATAACTTCAAATCATCGTCTTCTAAAAATTGTATTTTTATAATACAATTTCAATTAAAATGTATAATAGTAAAAGAAATCTAAATGTACAGCCATTTTAAAATTAAAGTTCTTGGTTTCTATGTACATTACCATACTCTTAATTTATTAAAGTTTAAAGTTTAAAGTTTCAACTTATCGTTATTTTATCTTATATTTTAAAATATATTAGATAATATAATAGATATTAGATATCTATAAAAAGTTAAAATCAATTATACTGATAACCATAGGAATTAAAATATTGTAAATATGAACAAAAATTTAAATGATTCTTTGAATTTATGCATTATATTGTATAGATACATATTTTGATTTAGATCAATGCAGTAAAATGATAAAAATTTCAAGTTGAATACTCGTTTTGAATACTTTCTGAATACAATAAATTGAAAGTTGTATCACGCTATTAAACACTTAGTATTGTAAAATAGAGGTGCGTGTTTAAATGTATTAAGAAAGTCCATTATATTTTCTGTAATATTTGTTATTAAAAATAATAGGTTTAAATATCTAGAATGTTTAATGTTGCAATGATAAAATAACATCATTAAAAATCTGCTGAGTTATTTACTTTTCTTCAAAGAATAGATTTATAAATGAAATCAACAAATGATAGCCTTATGTTTGACGGGCAGGAAATAAAATAAAATATCATATTTGAGGAATAAGAGAATAAAATCAGTCGGGACTACGGCGACGACTGATGTATAAAAAGTAATTTTAAATCATTCGAGTGGAAAGGACTTCATAGAATGCCAAGATACAGATGTAAAAACATAGAATTAATCATCTCACGGTGGCACTAAAAATATGTGTTCGATCGAATTAATAGAGACTGTTAGGTGAGGTTTCTTCAATAACTACAAACATAAAACATACCTTTAAGACAAAGTTTTTTCATATAAGTACCTACTTCAAAAGTGTACACAAACAGTATTTAAAATTAAGCACATTACAATATAGAATGACACATTTAATAACAGCAAACAATATTAAATATACTCAATACTCATACTATATTTGAGAAAGGTATACTTAGTACAATTCTGATTATTGATTACTGATTAGGCAATAAAAAAAGATTAAAATTATAAAATTAACTTTCTATGCACCTAACAATTTTTTAAAAATGTATTAAAATAATATGTGTTTGAAGAAGTCCATGAAAATTATCGTAATTAAAAAATATAATACATTTTATTAATTAAAATCAATTTTTTTTTCGTATCTCATACTATCAAATATATCTTTTATATAGTATATAAATTTAAACTTTTGTTTTGAATATTGGATACTTCCCAATTTTATATAAACAGATATTGAGAAAATGCACATACAATCGCTGTTAGATACTATATTAATAGAATTTCTCGTTAAAATATTACATTTCTATTCGAGAATTGAGGTTTTCAGATTGCAATAATGAATTATAATGTAAATTATAACAGTAATTTAATTAATTATTTTGAGTTAATTTTCTACCTTCCATTTATTGTAATTTTAATTTATTTGAATATTTCATATTATAATGACATTATACAATGGTCAATGAGATATATGTTATATTTGGGTAGTATATTATAATTACGCAATAGTAAATAATTAATATAAACTTATATTTTTGACTCCACGATTACATATACACAAGAAGAGTTAAATTGATAAGTTAGTTAGTAGTTAGTTAGTTAGTTAGTAGTTAGTAAAAGAATATGTAAACAATATTTATTATACGGGAAAGATTTTTAATAAAATAAATAAGAACAAAGATCAAAGTTATCTATAGAAGAGTTATATATGATTTATTAATTATCTAGAAGTAAAACTATTAGAACTATATATTTAACCATGAAGCGTTAATGTAATTTATTGTTTTCATTATAAAGAATAGATAGGTAATACGTCATGTTTAACAAGTATTAATTTTTAATGTTTTTACCCAAAATATGATGTTATTACAAATGTGTTAAAACTTAAATCTAATATTGAAATATCAAAATAATATTAAAAAAATAAGATAAAATAAATTGTTTTTATTTCAATTTTTTTTTTATTTTAGAAATTCTGTTAATATCATTGTATACGAAAAACGATTCTGATCGAAGACGGTCAGTCAGCCCACGATATTACTATAAGTATATTTGATGATATTATTGTGAATAAAGTAGTTTATTTACCTATTTACGTGGAACCTTGTTTTAAATTTTCAATCCTTAGCTATAAAAGTTGAACATTTTATAAATTTTTAACTACAAAATAATTTTAAAATTTAAAATTTAGTACATTTTGGCAAAGTTTGAACTTTAAATGTTTATAAAAAGAAATTCTGCATATGTATTTTTAATGAATTTTCAAGCTTTTTGACCCAACGAATAAAAATTTTTTTTTCCTAGCGCTTTTGAAAACTACTGGGAATTTTGACTTCCCCAATGCACCAACTAGATTCACTTTCCATCGAACAAGATACTGAAGATGAAAATCGAAGCATTATTTCGACTACTTTCGTGTACACAGACACAAAAAATTTAAAAAATTTAAAAAAAACACACACACCATTGTAAAATCAATACTTCATCGTTCTGCTCAGAATGAAAAATAAAACAATAATAAATAGGTATTTAGCTTTGAAATAATTATTTAGTATTTTAGTTCATTTAAATTAGTTTAGCTAGTTAGTAGATATTCAAATATAGGGAAGATGAGTTCTTCCATGATAAACTCCAAGTAATATATAATATTATGTCAGATACATAATACATAAACGTAAGTTTCTATATATAAATACAGAATACATATGCACTTAGGAATATAATAATATCGATTTGTTTGGTTTTTTTAATTTAATTTTTTTTTAAATTATATTTTAAGGACTAATCATTGAGGGCATTTAACATACTCAGGACAATGAAAAAATTTCAAATTACAACATAGGTCTTAACTCATAAGGGTAAAAAATGACGTTGGGATCTCCATAGTTAATTTATTTCTTCGTATAGAAATATAACTTGTGTTCTAAATTTTATTTCATTCTATAGAAATTTCCATATTATTGTATGCATTTGACCTAAAACAATTTCTGATGGAAGTTTACCAAGCCCTTCTAACTATACAAACAATCGATAGATCGTCAATAAGTGTCCCATAAACAAAATATACCAACAACCACACGGCCATCTTCAGAGAATGCCCAAAGGCTTACTTGTAAAGCTTTACTTGGTAACAACGCCAATAAAACACAACAATATCATTCTACAACTTCACACTTCAAACAAAAATATTTATATTTTGTCCCATGTACCCACACACCATTATCACCCATCCCTACCCACTTGTCTTTTATATTTAATTCCTTTAGAAAACGTCCTGCACACCTTCCTTGTTAATCTAAATACCGTAATTGAGTACCTCATATATCACTTCACTAACATTATTACTAAATACATCTCCCTTAAATTAACTTTATATGTCACTGATACTGTACACGACAACTTTTATATACATGTTCCCCGGATACACGTATGCTCGTTGCACATAGACATATCTATTTCATTTGTCCTTTTGGAATCCAATTAAGACTCTTTTAATTTACTCCAATCATTTAACTTTATGTTATAGCACAAATAAAGACCAATATTCCCAGTGACTATTCTAAAATGTGGTATTTTTGTTAGAAGGTAACTAACCTAGATTATACATCATTGTCCAGATGACAAGTTAATGTACATGGGATTTTTCTCACGAAAAAAAATAGGAGCATCAAATTTATCGTTAACCTAAGGAAACTTTGGAAAATAAAGAGATTGCAAATCGTCAACAAACGCATAATTTTCTTTTGTGGTCCTTGATTTACAGTAAAAGATTACAATAGAACGGGACGAAAAACTTGTTCCCGTGTGGTCTTTCGTTTCCACTCACCCCTTATACTATAGTGAGAATATAACAATGCACCTACAATGAAAAGAACATGAAGTTATAAATAATGAAGTAGGAAAAAGAATCTCACTTTTAGATCCCTGTGTACTACCCCGTTCGTGTGGCAGTGGTTTACACTTTCCAGTATTTGCTGAATGCAATGCGATGCGTCAGCTTCACTGTAGAACTCTCTTGCTACGATGTCTTCAAATAACTCGCCACCTGTCACACTGTATAAAATAATAAAATATTAGGTTAACTTTATAAGAAATAAGTTCGTTATGACAATTAAATTCAATAATAATAAAAATAATAATATTAATGAAGAACTCATTTATTTATGGGTATTTTAGTAGGAATAATATAATAAATGGAATGATGATTATAGTCGTGGCATTTTCTTTATTCCCCTAGTTCTAATGATTGTGAGTAGTATAGTCATTAAAAAAATAACTTTCGTTTTTATTTGAAACATGGTCACTGTTCTTTTAATCACTTTGAAAAATCGTAAATAGGAAAGGACAATGGTTGTTTTGAAAAGATGAAAATGCGAGACACACCCTTATTTGAACAGCACCCTCGTTTATTTCGATTCCTTATTATTAATGATGCGTACAGAAGTTTTATTGTTTGAAATTACCCATTTTCAGAATTATCAACAATAACAATATAATACAATTTCAACATTTTAATTTTAATTCAGTGTTTAATTTATTTTAAAATGTTAGAAAAACATTATTATAATAAACAAAAGGTTGATTAATACGTAATATGAGTACGCTTCTCTACGTATCAAATTAACTATTATCATACACGTGTTCATTATTTATTTTTTATGTATTACCATTTTTAATACTGTAGATGCACTAGAGAATATTAAGAGTTATACATTTTATTACGCAGGTATAGGTATTTTAAATGTTTGGATTAGGTGTGAAGTCGGAAACTTATTAATTTTGTTTTTTTTTAATTTGTATTTGATATAATATTTTATTGTAATAAGAATGAACAAAAATAAATCAGTGATCCTATTTTATAGAACTGATAGATAAATCATATCTAACTGGTATTCTAAATACCAAGTTAATTTTCGTTTTTATTACATATGTTTCCTAATGATAATAAGGAAGAATCTATGAATTCGGCCAATATAGACTTAATCTTTGGGCCTACTCCTGGTCAATATGTGTCATGCTAAAAAAAATGAATTATTGACATAAATCTTATACACATTACAAAGTGATTATTCTAAGACAAATCACTTTGTTCCTGAAATTAATGTTTAAATGGTACTTGAAGTAAATAATCTTAACACTACTGTATTTTTTACTTTACTATTTGTACTTGTGTTGATTTTGTTTTAGATTTTTTAAAAGGCGACTTATTTTTAATTTCTTATTCTAGAACAAAATATTTTTTATTGTAAGGTAAATCATATATGCAAGTATGTAATTATTATATCAAATAGGTAAATTAAATTCGCAATTATGACACAACTTTTATTCATTGAAACTACAGTAAGACATTTATTAAGTTACTAGAAATTAATAGCTATAAAATATTATCTGATACCGAAACCGGAGAAGTCTGGCAACACAGATCTTATAATAACTCAATTTATTCGTGAAAAAACGGTATTTGCATAAACGTCCTGACTATAAAAATGTTATAATGGTTGAGCAAGCACATATTTTTTTTTATCTCTCAAGTGTTGACCGTCATGTACGACCCAACAAGTAGGATATGTTTGTGGATGTCTGACATAAATTTATTAAATTATAGTAAATCACATATATACATGCTGCATTGACTGATAAACTCAGGATGTTATCTCGAGAAGAGTGGGAGATTGGAAACCCAAACGCTTGGGTTATACATTTTGAAACAACAAATACTATTCGTATACAAATACCGTTCGCCTGTATTTAATATCGATTTTTAGGGTCCAGTTGATAATTAAAAATTTGCTTGATTACACTTTGGCATCCGTTATAGGAAATTGAAAATAACACTCCTTAGATAATTTAACGGAATATTATTTAATTAAAAATAATGACGAGGAAATTCTGAATATGTATACGCGTTTGGTGGAAATTTAAAATAAATATAAAAATGTAATTCATACTTAGTTATATACCTATTGTTATATTATAAATTATTATCTGTCTAATTATTGCGTTAGGTACCATAATACTATAATAGGTATACTGTGTTATTGTATATAAAAATTATTATTTTTACGTTTGATGTTCGCCTTTGCCAATCCTTATAATATCGGTATCGTGTCTGCAAGCGTAATCTATTTCTGGGTCTAGTCCACGTCTTACTATTTATATATATTATATAGTCAAGGCTTCACGTTATATGTACACTGTTCTTTCGCATTGTAAAATAAAAAAAAATACCGTAGATCTACCTACACGCATTGTAACGGTAATTATATTGTATACAAACACTGCAGTATACAATAAAATCAGCTACTTACAGGTCGAACACGAGGTAGTGAAATAGTTCCTCTTGGATGCTGTCGTGTAATCTCACTATAATAGAAATTAAAATATCAATACGTTATATAAATCGTTTAACTTAATTATTTGTAAAAAAATATTATTACGTCATAAAAAAAACTCGCCTATATTTGGATGCTGTAATTTCCTGCATATTCTTGCTTCCCTCTCTAATTTTTGAAAATCTGAAACATTTTAAATAATAAAATAATATAGTTATTTGGTAAACAATAAACATACATACATTATAGATTACAGATCTATGCATAATGCATATCCGCAAATAGCGTTTGAGATTTAGGGTGGGGGGCTGAAGCTTCAGTAAGCATACATAAGTTTGGACTATTTTTTTTTAGGTGGGTGCTTAGCCTCTAAAGCTCCCCTTACCTATTTGCGCCTATGGTATAATGTTAATACACCGCATATGATTGTGAAATGTATTCGTATTTTGTTTATATTATTAATTATGTGTTTAATTAAAAAACATCATATTAAGTGTAAACACTTAAAGTGTTTATATTTTGAATGAGTACCTCTATACATTTTTAATATTTGTTCTCTAAGTATAATTATATATAAGTGCTTTGTATTTTAATCCATTTTTATATACTAAATGAAAGCTTAATGTTGGCATTACAAACGTGCAAATTTAATCATTTGATCTTTGTTAATAATCAAATACTCAGTTAACTCATCCCCCCCTAGAGTAGGTCCCTACCTAGCTAATTTAATTTAAGTTTTCCATTTAAAAAGCTTTTTATTTAATTGATATTCCAATATGTAATATAACTGCTATCAACACAATTTGTTAAATTGATTGTTTCTCGCAGATTATAATAATACAAGTTCAGTATTTAAACAAATCGATAGTAATTATTTTAAAGACTACAATCACTTATCAAAGTTAGAATGCACACTTTTTATCCTCACAATAAAAAAATGCAGATATATTTATCTACACACATGTGTTATAATTTGTATATACTGTATTCAATACTAAATACATATACCTACCTACTTGGCTACATCTTGTATAGATTCGTTCATATTATTTTATTTTTATTCTTCGTTTGTTTTTTTAAATGAAGATTTAAAGTATCTTGTTCAGAAATATATAGAATATTTGTTTGTGAACTTATTCTATTATAAGCTCATAATGATAAACATCATAAATAACTACCTTTACCGATAACTCTGTAATATTAAATTCCCATTATTTTCGTTCATCGGGTTGTAAAAATAACATTTTTAACATTAAAAGTGGACTGAGTCTGGAGTTGAGTGGGTTGATTAAGTATTTTTTATAATTAAAATGGATAACAAACTGCATTCAAAATATATTTTTGAATGGAACTCGGTTAATCTAAAATAAATGGTCGTAAAATTATAAATTCAGTTGACCCATACTTGACCGTTTGTCTGTTTATTTCTGTACCTACTATAAACAATGTGTGTGTTTTCTGTTCTGTTATTTTTGTCTGTAGATACCTATTGAAACAATAAAAATGCTTCGATTTTCAATCGACCTAACTTTTGAGGATGATTTCTGGTAGAAAATTGGTTGCACTTTTCAGAAAAAATAAATGGGGAAAAACGAAAATAGTTACACAAAACCAGTGTTTGGAAATTTATTTTTTTGTTTTGTTTAAATTCAAAATTCAAAACTATAGACACAAAGAGTTTGCAAGTTTAATAAAAGATTCCCCATAAGTTGTTCTTGCAGCAACATCAAAATATCAAATAAACATTTGCACAATTTTTTTGACGAAATTTGATATTTAAACGAATATAACGATTTTAATAATTTTTAATATTATGATTTATGATATTTATACGACGTCTACAGCGTTAGCCAGTACTCGTCTATTTGTCTGTTCCAAATGCAGGCAGATATGGAGAAGAAAAATAAATGCGAACAATCTAGAACACGTTTTTCAGATGTAGACGAATTTGAAAATGAAAGTGGTATCAACATTTCGTAATTGAGTTTGGATAATTTTTATATCACTATTGCACCAGAAACAAACATTTTGTAACATTAATATGAATGTGAAAAAATTGGATGACTATAAACTTGGAGTAGGATAAGCAATTATTGGAGGAATGCAATATAGAGGATACTCCGATGAAGGAGAGAATCAAGTCAATGTTGTTCGTAGCTCGCCAATTTATGAGCACATGCTCAGAAGATTTATCGATAGAATTAGTGACATCAGTTGTTGAGGAATATATCGGTATATCAGTGACGTTATTATTCCCCACAAACCTAAATGAGTTGATGAAGTTACTAAAAAGTTTCGAAATATATGATGCGACAGTTTCAGTTTTGTTGTAGGTATTAAAAAAATATTATTCGTAGAGACTTGAAACTTTTCACCACTTACTTTATTATTATTTATTATTTATTTTACACAATACAATTTTCAAAATATTAAGATTTATTTTGATCTAGTTATATCACGAATCTATTCACACCATTCTACGGTACGCGGTAAGAACTTAAAACTTAATAACAGCTAGTAATATAAAATAGCAATAAATTATGTATATTATATTATACTTCCTTAGAAGTATAGGATATCAGACAGTCTCCGTTCAGAATCATTTTTCGTATGCAATAATACTTATCGTTTAATTCAAATTTAACACATCGATTATGATTACAGTCACCTCTCAATGAAGAAATGGATCACTATACAGCAGAGCCACATCCCAGTTTAAAATATGTATCGTATAATTCTTTGAAACATTCTACTATTATTATTTTCAAAATATTTATTTTATTAGTTATGCCTAAGCTATTTATATTTTATAGCCATAAGATATATTCGATTTTTTTTTTAGCCTACGACATTTTTTATGCTAGTTCAAAAAGCTTGAAAATGTAATACAAGATCCCTCACAAGATGTAGTTATATGCATTAATTTAAAAGTACTGTAAATATAAAGGCACAATTTCTTTTTATAAGAATTTAAACTTTGAGGTTCAAATTTTGACAAAATTCATCAAAATTACAAAAATTTGCAAATTATTTTTTTTGTAAATGTATCTAAAAAAAATTTTTAATTGTAATATCTAACTTTTTTCCAACATCAATTGTAACTCTTAACTGTTAGTAAGTACTTTAAAAAAAAGATAAACTTGTAATGTAACTTAGTTATAAGTTAACTAAACTTTAAATTTTTAACTCGTTAATGCCCAGCCTTGAGTAGGTATAGGTTATACAGGGTTATAGTTACTAAATAATATGTGTGATTTATTTTTGAAAAAATAAGTTTAGAAGGTAGAACTAATAGAAAAATATCTAATAACAGTAATAACCAATAGAATGTAATAAAATGTTATAAGCAATATATATGCTGACAGACCAGAATCCGCTTTGATTCGTTTTTAAAGGTTTTGATTTACTGTCCATAAATATGCGTTTTTAGAATATAGTCATGGATAAAATAAAAACGCGAATTCGTAAAAATAGCTTTTTTATCTCTTCTAAAACCTCAGAATTGATTAAATTTAAATAATATCTTACCTAATATTGGAGTTCTACGCGAGTACGTGACTATGGATGATTTGTTCGAAGGTTTTCTTTGATATAAATCAAATCATAATTGTTAACTCTAATAAATGATAATATTATCATCATACCTACCTACTCATACTTATTTCGTAAAACTGTTACATGTTGTCACTTGTCAGGTGCCTATAACCTACCTTTGATACAGGGCAAAAGTAATGCGCAAGCACAAAGCTTCTCCCCACCCCGTCGGTCCATGGGTTAATTTATATAGAGGGGCGAAAACTGGTCGATACCATTTAAATTTGGTTATTAAAAAACAAAAACCGTTTTAAAAGTTCATTGGACATTTGTTAAGTCCGCTTAATCTTGTATTACAATTCATACTATTGAAAAAGAAAAAAAAGATTAAAATACGTAATTAAAATATATTCACTCGGACGAGGGGTCGTATCAAACCCCTCACGTGCGAACGTGGGGATCTGTTTTGTCACGTTCGACGATCGTGCGAAATCGTACAACACTCAACACTGCAATGTATGTATTTATGCTGACGGATTTATAATATATGATTAATATTTTGTATATACAGGGCGCATGTCCAGCTCGTTACTCCGCTCGAAAAAACGAGAAAAACTACACCGCAGTGATCCATTAGCCTATACATAACTTAACCTCTCTGTTCACCCCGCCACGTACGTGCAACACGATGTATAATGCGAATAATGTACAATACGTGTTTTGTTTTAGGTATACGTGTGCCGCCGACGAAACGTGACATCGGCCGCGTATACGGACAACGTGGTCCGGTCGCCCGAATCGGAGTAGTGTCCCGGCTCGAGGCTGTCATTTGTATTTATCGTTGTCTGCTACAAAACTCTCTATAATATTATGTCTCCTCGCGCACTCAATCTGCAGTATACAGCATGATTCTTGTATCGAAAACCCTCATTATGTAAGAACATGAATACTTTTTGAAAGAATCGCCTTCTAATTATACGCCTCACTATCTCTCTCTCTCTCTCTCTCTCTCTCTCTCTCTCTCTCTCTCTCTCTCTCTTCTCTCACATACACACCACACCGCACACGAGCGCTTATATATAGGTATATAATATGGTTTGCGGTCAGATTCGTGTCGTGTCGACTTCCGTGGCCGGGCCCGATCGCCGTCGAAAGTAAATATAAGCGGCGCGCCGCCGCCGGTCGTCGCGGAACGAGCCATAAAAGCGCGCGTTTAATCAATACCGCGCGCCGCGATGGTGCGCGCTGCCTCTTCGCGCGTTACAGACGCTGCTTCCAGTCAGCATTCATTGACTCTTCTTTTTTACGCTACTCCTCAATCCCCGTGGCCATGTGCCGGTCACTATGTACCCACCCTCGGCCGTTTTCTGCACGGACGCTAGGGAAAGTGGGGTCCCAGTGTCACTTTTAATGAAGTGGCCCTAAATTCAATTTTTTTTTTTTTAGTATTTTACACTCATCATTGTAAACATAATTTGCCGTCAATAAATTGTCGATTATTTTAGAGAAGATTCTAACATATTTCTATATAATAGCTAAAACTTTAAAAGTGTTTAGTTTCAAATTTTTTTTTTAATATATTATTTACCTAGGTAGTAGGTACACATTTTATATATCTACTGTACCTACTATATTAATACAGTATACGTACTAGGTACTTGAACATATTATTTAAAATGTAAAGGGTTTTTTTTGTTGTTGAAAGAATTTTTGACCTTATGATAATACGTTTCTACCACTGTTGCCTACGTGAAAAAAAAAGTAGATACTGTATGGAGCTATACGTCACTAACTATATGATGTTTGTAGAATAATAGTTCGATAACACATTAATACTGATCTCATATAGTAGATAAAATACAATATAATATCTAATCGTATTTTTATACTATATTTTTCGACATTGTGGCCTTAGTAATTTAGTTTTATTATGATTATACTGTTAAGTAAGAAATCGAAACTTCGTGTGTTCTTTTACATTAAAGTCCACTCCCGTTCGTGGTCACGATAAACTGAAATAATAATCATCCTTTGAGAAAGGGGTGTAGTAGGTTTGGAAACACAATAATGCGCATGTGACTATATATAGGTTTCATCGCGCAGGGTGGGGGGGTGATAAGGGTCGAGATCGGGGGTCTCGTTTATTTATAGGTACGAGTGACGTAAAAGGAACTCGAATACTGCAACGAACCCTCCCTTATTGCCATGACACCATTACCACCGCGTTGTCGTCGTGCTGGAGATTATTAATTAACAAACCGTTGCACATATTTAAATTATAGAAAACTGCGCATTCAACACTAATTGCTTATTAATTCACACGTATATATTATTATACAGGTTGTATAGACGTTAAGTGTATACATCATAAGGAATATAATATTGTGTTAACTGTATAATAATATAGAAATTAAAGCACAGGGTTTTTAAGTGGAGCAATATGGAATACTGGTTAAACATACTGCGATTGAGTATAATATATAGCTTCCAATTGATTTCACCGAAATTTTCTGAAAACATTTTTTAGTTACATTATTGCAACCATTTGGGTATTTGACACTATTCTCTTATAATACTTAAACCTACTGTAACTACATGTCTACATACATACAGTAGGTACAGAGAATCATTGATCATTAATAATATATTTAAATATATTGTAACTTTTTTTTTAACTTTGTATTTCAATAAGTATAAAAATTGTAATCTAAGTTATAACGTTAATGTAAATAATATACAAAACAAAGATAGGTACATAACAAAAATTTAATTATTATGATGTTAAATTAATGTTGGTATATTTGTGTTATTCGTTTATCACATATCCACGTAAACGTTCTTTCATGCGATAAATAAGGCAAATAATATGTATATGAGGGAAGGGCCATTTTCCTCCAACTGTCAAACTATTTAGCCAATATTTTAGCTAATTTAGACATTTTAGCTAATTATTTATTTTATTTGTACTAAACATACAAGAAGAGTTATATAATATATGACTTAAAAATATATTTATAATATTCTTAATTCCTTATTGGAAGAAAATGGAAAGTGGGGGAATGTAGTCAAGATTTATTTTTTTTTTCTGAGAGGAAAATGAACAGTAGAGGAAAATGGCTACGGCCTTTAAAGGCTTTAATGTATATTGTATATAATATATATATAAATCAAGTGAGATAAATCAAGAGAGGAGTTATCAAAAGCTTTTGATAATAATATGCATTTTTTTACGTTTTATAATTTTAGCTAATATAAAATGTGTTTATTAATTTCTTTTAATAAAGCTTAAATAAAATAGTATTTCCCTTTTAATGATTCTGGTATGGGTGGGAAGGGAAGGTTTTGAGGTGATGAAATGTATATTAAAATACCGTTTATATAATAATATAGCAATTTTCAATATCACAGTGGCAGTCCCTATTTTTGTAATCGTAACTAAAAGTGTGTATGTGCATTACGAATTTACAACGTAGAAATAGGGTATGTATTATAGCTACAAGTTTTATGGTATTTTTTATAGATAAAAACAAATGTATACGTAGTGTAATAATTCTTTACTATACGTGCAATCGGTACGAAATTTCGTACAAAAAATATGTGGAGTCTAAAACCGATTTGTCTGTATTTGTTAGCGTCTAACGCCAGTCAAGGTATGTTATTATGTGTAGCTGCAGGTATGAAAATGCTTATAATAAATAATATGATAATATATAAATTAAATCTATAGAACTAAATAGTACAATTAATAATAATTGGATATTAAATTTTGTAGATACTACATATATAATTTACATTGGGTCGTGTAACATACAGCTGCAGTGTTGCAGTTTTATTACTTGATATCGGTAATGTATGATCGGAAATATTATTTTTAATTATAGAAGTTTTTATTGTAATTTTTTATTATGCTATAAAGTTGAGTTAATAAGTATACACGCAATCGTAGGTAGATTTTGCAGAACATTTTAAGAAAGGTGCTAAAAAGCTAAATAATGCGTAAATATCTTAAAACATGCAGAAATATCACATAATATGCAAAATAAAATTTTGGATTTAGACTTTATAATTTTCCAAATAGAATCTTTATTTGACTCTGCTATTTATTTAAATCATTAAAATCTATCAATCAAGCTACCTATCAAAGAAAAAAATATGGTAATGCTAGAAGACTATATTATAATAGCAGTAACTATAATATAATATAGGTACCTACAGTGGCTATAGTTATGAGATATTTAAATGTTTGAATTGGAGATTTCCTAATTGTGTTAATATCGTTTATTATACAAATTAACTATACTAAACTACAAATTTTTCTCAGATACTAGTGTAATTTATACCGAATACAATTTTCGTAAATATGTTGTAAACTTGTAAACTGTAATAGCAGGTACCAATGACCATACAAACTACGAATGCACTCGTAGTTTTGAAATCAATAGTTTCTAATTAGTTATTAACTTAGTTTATGATTATACATTCTATAAGCTTTGTAAAAAAAATTAATTTTTTAATATAATATAATTACGGAATAGCAAATTTAAAATTATCATCTTAATTGAGCTCAAACAAAAAAATAAATGTTACTGTTCTGATTAAATTGTACAATTTATGTAATTAAAAATTATTATTTTTATTAGGTACTCGTGTCGTATATTTGGAAAATGAATATTTCATAATATTAAATAAAACTAATTATGTTTTTTGATACTGAAGTTTAAAATATTATCAATTCAATTATTTATACATATTTTATAAAATGTGAAATTCATAAATATTATTAAATCAATATAATTACTTAATGTTTTAATAAAATAAGTATTGTAAATGTACATTTTAATAATTATTTTTTAAAAGAGGCTTATAAGTATATTTGAGGTTGGTATTTAAATAAAACGTACATAAAATCAAAATCAATTGGAAACACATTTGTGTTGAATATAATGCAATTTCCCATGGTATTTAAACGTTATTGAATTTTGGGAACAATGATGAAAACTCCATTACCGTACCACCCAAAAATATTTCAAACACCAGACGACACTCAGTTTATTATAATATCATAATGATAATATTTTGAAACGTAACAAATACTATTTTAAATTGTCACGTATATCGATATGAATCATATCATTATCTAATAAATTGGAAATTAATCAAATTAATATTAACAATAATCTGATGAAAAAAATTTCAGCTCTTTGTTGTACAGCTGTATAACATATTTACACGCGATACGAAAATGTTCAATTCAAATATTATAATATGCCTAATGGATAATAATATAATTTTTAGATACTATTAATTATTTTTTAATTTAGATCTATTAATTTTGTTTACAATATTTGTATATCCGCATTATACTGTATTAGAATTGAAATTATTTTTTTTTTTTTTAAATTATTATATGAAAAAAGAAATTTAGGTAGGTACTTAATAGATTTTAACAAAAGATGAACTTGAGAACAATTTTATGCTACACAATTTACAAGTGTAGAGACCAATATGTTATATTTTTATTGCTTATCAACCACCAAAATATATATAATAACTCGTTGTTGTTTTTTTTCATTTAAAAACCCTGATAGGTCGGTGAAAGAAGGTCAAGAAGATATCTCTTGACTTACACTCGTATTTTTAACCCTACCTCCAGACCTCCTTCACTACTAACAATTTTGATTCTTGACTCTTTCTCTAAAAGCTTTAGGGTTACACTGTTCATGGTACAGATAATAAATAATAATGCCTACTACCACTACGTGACCTTTTTTGATATTAAACCTTTATAAGAAATTAATCTCAGATCTCATTTTAAAATCGTTTTTAAACCATACTTGATGTTTTCCATTTTGTTTACTTGAATTAAGATAATCATGTTTTTAGGTTCTTAAGAGAAATAAAAAAATAATTTACCTCGGGCTGATAATTTTTTCGTATTTATAATTTTTGCAGCGAATTCCAATCCTGTGTGCTTTTGAATGCATTTTCTTACAACAGAAAATGCCCCTCTAAAAAAAAAAAAAAATACATTTATTTAAAGTTCATATCCATATAATATATAGTTTAATTTTATTATATGAAGAGGAAAGCAATATAATATAAAGGATAATATTGGGGGACGGGGTGTCCGAGTGGTCTAAGGCGTCGGCTGCGACGCAACCGAAGCTGGCTCGATACCTCGGTCATGGGAGGCATTTTTCTTCGGACAAGTCACGGTGTCAGGAGAAAAAGTGCCGCCATCCCCCCCCCAGCATGGCAGATACCTACGGGTGCCCAATCAAAAATGTCAAACTAACACACACGTGTTCCTTCCCCTACCGACATAAAAATGTACAAAACCAAAAAACAGCTAATGGCCATAGTTGCGGGGTTAAGATCAAATAAAAAAAAAAAAGTTTAATATTATTATTGCGTGGTAACTATTACCAATAGATCACTTATATGGCTATATAAATATTCAAAAAGGTTAGGTACATAAACCTAACCTATGACCTATTTTCATCAAGTTCTCAAACTTTTTTGAAATTAAATATATTACCAAAATCGTTTACAGGAAGCATAAACAAAAATATAACTTTCATGTATTATTATATCTATACATAAAAACTTTCAAGTTATATGTTACAAGAATGACTACGGAGACTACACAATAATGTAATCTTCACCGTTTTTAATATAAAATGTTGAAAGCTCTAAATAATATATATATATATATATTTAGGTATATGCGTTATAAAAATTCTTAAAAGACTTAATAGTTAATTTTCAGTTTTTATAGGTAGTGTAAACAACAATATACCTAATTCAGTTACACATATAGCAATTTTTCGTTTTATTTATTTTTTCAACCAAACAAGAATTATCGTAAGAAACAAGACATGACAGTGAAAATAAAATATTACTCATACATATAATTTTTGAAATATAATTGTTTTTTATTTAATGAATGACTACAGGTGAGAACGCATGAGAGGATAGATTTCAGTCTTCAGAGTAATCTCAACGTAATAAAAATTATGATTTTAATAAAAATTTGTTTTCCTATCTATTTTAATTTTTAAATAATGAGCGAATCGAAGAATGTATTGATTTTACAATAATGAGTTTAAAAAGTTTCTGAAGACACTTTTTGTAGTAAGAAAAATTATCTTATCATCGACTTTAAAGGAGGTTTCTGGTAACAAATTTCAGGATCTACTTGGTACTTTTGGGAGGACAAAATTGAAAATTCTCAGTACTTTTTAAAACAATCGAGAAAAAAATATACTAACATTTGTTAGGTAACCTTTTTAAAAATTAGACCGTCTTCGCTCAGAATCCTTTTTCATTGTATCCAATGATTTATCATTGAATTCAAATTAACACATCCATTACTGCAGTTCCTACTCAATGACGAGATATACTCGGCACCTAGATACTGTAAAGTGTAGGTATATATCAGAGTAGTGGTTACCTACTTGACAGTTATTTCTTACTTTTTTCTTTATTTGAATAATTGTGTCGAAATTCCTACTTATTGTTTTTATAATATTGGTTATTACAATATTACATAGGTACCAACTTATGGACCAAAGTCGTTATACTAAATAATAGTTTACTTATATACACTATACATTGGTCATTGGTTAATAATAAAAAAAAGAAGAAATATTTTAGAAAGATTTCTCTTGATAGGCGTGATTTTAGCCTAGGTTTAGATGTTTTTTCATATGATTGATGTGTGGATATTTGTATGATAATATTATACAAATGTTGAAATGGAAAACTTCTTTGGTTTTATTTATCGAGTATGCGTAAGTTGGATGTGATCTTAAATAAATAACATTTGTCATTACCTATATACGGAAAAATTGTATATCATAATATTTTGAGTGAATATAACGTATACCTTTAAAATTACATTAAATAAAATAAATAAACTTTACAATATCAAGTTTTGATATTTATTTACAGGTATTGTGTGATAGCCTTTGAAAATAACTGTAATTCAATCAATCATTCGTATTAATCTGTTAAATAAATGTATAAAACAGTATTTTAGTATTTATATAATATACAATATACAACTATACAAGAGAATATAATATAACTATACTAGATAAATTCAGGTATTATATATGGGTATTAATGTAATATGTTGTATGAGCTTGTTTGAGTCAGATGTTATACTGAAATTTTTAAGTTATACTATGTAGTTTATTTACAGATTCGGAACTGTATTTTTTAATGTATGGTAGCAAAATATACAGTTCGATGATCTTTTGTAAATTATATGGAATTAATGACGTGGACGGTAGACCCATTTGTCAACAGAGAGATCTAAGAGAGACAATAGAGAGATACAGAGGTACACACACATACTAACATATAAAATATATTTAATACCATCAAGATAATATTATAATTTATAATAATATACGAGATATCTCGGTGACTCGGTGTATGAAATCTGAAATTGTGGAAAATGTATGGGTTATTATAATATTCACGTGAAGTTAATATTCAATATCATAGAATATCGCAGGTCGTCAACTAAACATCAGCTATCGAAACACCGAACACAGGTAGACCGTTTAAGATTGGGGGATGTGCCGAATGCATTCCGTTTTTAGTTTTTACCTTTTTCATATGAGGCATCCAAGGCCTGATTAAGAACCTATTGGGTCCCAGGGCTGAAATTTCATATGGGCTCTTTTGACAAAACATGCTTACAAATGCGCTCGCTACGCTCGCAGGACCATACATTTTTCTAAACTATTTCACAAATTGACAATTCCATTATAAAACATTAAAACTATAAAATTGATAGGTAAATGTAATTTATGTTTATAAAGTTACTCATTTTATTGTAGTATAATAAAAGTTAATACTTCATATTTTATTAATTTAAATTCAAATTTTCATAATAACTTTTAAATTTATTAACAGTATATACTCATTTACAACAAATATCAAACAAAAACCATTTTATCAAATACATTTTTTTCTTGCTTTACTTGAAGCCAACTATCTTAGTACTTCATTTAAGTCTAATGATTTTAATAAATCATTCTCAGAATAAAAAATCATTTGGACCTATGTCTCAGTTTTCTTGGGCTTGACTAGTTATATACTTATTTTTTACTCTAGTTAATTTAGAAAAAGCTCTCTCCGTACATAGGTACATTAGGTAACATTATTAAATATTTATGATATTATTGATATCAAGGAAAATATTAAATAACAGTAAAATGCGTCTTTTCTACCACATAGTGCTTTTGTAGGTATTTTCTATTTAGTTGTTTTTGTCGATAAAAAAAATGGTTTTTAAAATATAGAAAAACTTTTTTTTGAAATCACTAAAACATGTGTATCAGCTTAAAATGATTTGGGTCCCTTTCATTTTGGTACTTGGAGGGCCCCGGGGCTTCTGCTCCGGCTAGACCCTCCCTAAATCCAGCCTTGAGTACATCCGTAGTCACATTAATAAATTATATTGAATAGCCAGTCGGTCCTCAGGCAAGACTTTTAAGAGACATAACCAACGATAGACTATGAAAACAAATGTACAAATGTACAATTATATAAGTATTTTTTACAACGACGACTGTGGCAACGGAAGGGAAACTGTATTTTATTTTCTTCGATAATAACTGGGCACGACTACGACTAATTTACGTACAATAAGTGTGAGTAGTGATCTGGTGAGAGAAGTATAGTGCCATAAAGCATAATAGACAAGTAGACCTTTCTTAAAACCTAATTTATATAAAAAATATTACACTCGCTCAAACTGAAAATGCGTGAAAATGGGTGTAAGCCATACTAATAGTAACCAAATATTTTTTTAAGAGAAAGCCGTTCTCTTCAATAAACTCGGGGCATTAAATATAAGGGTAATTTCGGAGGACACTCCTGAGTTCAGGAAACTCCTTAAGATTGTCCCGCAATCGGAGCTGGTGTTTTCGGAAACTGAGGTAGGTCACCTATACGGCCATATATGTTTATTTACCTACTCTTATCGTCAAAGTCAAACAGTGTCATAACAAATATGATCAATTGGGAAAATAATAATAATATATCTATTATATTCTTTCTGTTTATACCATATACCATGCAATTGAATCCTACAACAGAAACATATTACAGCTTAAAGCTTTTCAATTCCAAAATTCTTATAGGTAATCACAATGTATATTAAAATTTATAATATCAAGAAATACTAAAAATAATACTTTTTGATCTTAAACATTACCTCTTCCTCTTCCATCAGTATCATACATCAACTTTCTGGTTTCAGAAACAGGGAAAAATTCTTAGGATTAGGTTTGCTTGGCCTCGAATAGCTTGCAGGTCAACGATAAGTGATATCATATGATATTGACGAAATTATTATTTTATACCAGTATCAGTGGTGGATATAAGGGTCAAATGTTAGTCGGCGAACTCTTATAAAAAAGGGGCCTCGACCCATAAGTTGATAGTTTTTTTTTTTAATTTCAAACCCGTAGCTTATTAATAATATCCCTCATGAAACCTAGATATCCAATAATCAAGAGTTATAGCGTCCAACGAGGCCACCTAACGATTTACACTGTTGAATCCGCCACTGACCCACATTTACACGGATGTGGTGAATTCGTTTTGACCCACGCGATATTAATATATTATTATAATATTGTGCTAACGGGCTACGTATAAATAATATGATAGCGGTGTACCATATAATATGGTCGACGGCGTTTAAAAATATAACGCCTAGACTCCTTCTGATGATGAGACGGCACTATGGCAGACGGTGCCAAACGGCGAAAAAGAAACCAGCTGGCACGTCGTATATTATATTAATATATAGTATTATTCACATCACAAACATTGTGTTGCTGTGCTGATGTAGGTAAGACTCGTTGATGGTACCTATACTGTATATAGTACATTAGTATTGTATACCTATATTATATAGAGCGCACACGCGACCGCACTGCGCCTAAAAAACACTCTTTACTCACGCGTGCTCATCAAATCGGGG